TTTATCTGGCTTTGCCTCTTTGTTGTTTAGCAACTGGAGTAATATGGACTTGATCCTCTGTTGCATTAAAAGTATGTTTGGCCAGGGAACCAGAACTGTAGGACTTCTCAGCACTGACGTCAACCCACATAAGGTCGCTGGGGAAGGCCCTGGGCTGGGCATTGTTGTGCTCCTTTTTGGCCTGAGATAGTCAGGCCTAGATAACTTCAGGCCAAAACAGGGGGCGGTGTGTGGGAGGGTTCTCCTCTCTGAATTTCAGCTCCCCAAGGCCCAGGAATGGGAAAAATGGAATGAAGAGGAAAGGCTGATGAGGAAGACCAGTGAAGAGCCTCATGCACATAATCTAGGGAGAAAAAAAGGATAAAGGTCTGAATTAAGACAGCCAGCAATGGAGACAGCCACTCAGAAGTGTGGGGTAAAACTGACAGAATTGTTCATTTAGAGAGATGCAAAAGAGAGGATTTAAGGATGACTTCTGAGTTTCTACCTTAGGAAACAAGGGGTATGCTGTCTTCATATTAATTTAAAGAGAATATAAACAGAACTGTTTGGGAGAATAGAAAAAATGTCTCAAATTCTGATGATGATTAAGTTCGCTTGGAAAAGAGAAATACCTGTATACTAAATTTGTTGAGATGTACTACTGTGAGAATGTTCTAACTTAGAATATACAATGAATTAGAGTTAACTTTGCATAGACCATGTGGTCTAGTTTAAAAAAAACGGTCTTTGAGATCTAGTTAAAATTTGTCTTTTTAGGTAAAGTTTGTTGAGCTAACAACAATTAGGTCTTTGCGTCTCCTAGGGGATTTTAGGGTTAAATGAACGTAGGATAAAGGAATCTGAATCTCTGGCTTCCCCTTGCATCAGCTCAGCAGTGGGGTCAGGACGGTGGGAGCCAACACTGCAGCAGCCATTTGCTGGGCAACCTCCCAGATGATGAGACATCTTGCCCTGCGATCCGGGAAGGGAACAAGCTGTGAAGGGATAGTCATTGGTGTCACTTCTAAATGTGTCCCCTGTACCTGATCATCTGGTGCATTTGCCTGGTATTTTAAGTGCCTGGTTTTGAAAGATCACTTTTGTCAGACCACATGTGGGGGCTGGGTTGGTTAGGAAGATTGGAAAAGGCAGTCTTCAGTTCTGAGACATCTGGGACAGGGGAAAATAGGAAGGAGCACAGTATGGTCCGTTTTGGTCATGTTGAGATGGACCTCATGAGGATTGTTCGGTGGGAGTTAGAAACATGAACCTGGAGAACTAGATGTTTGAACGACTCACTCAGAAGCCATTGTTAAGCGGTTGATGTGGGGGGGAGGTGGTGCACAGGTCCCCTTAGGGGAGCACAGAGTGAGAAGTAAGTGTATCATAGGTGGAATCTCTGCTGATCCAGTAGTTAAAAGAAACGCTGAGTCAGAGGAACCCAAGAAGAGGCCTAAAATCAAGCATTCAGAGATGTAGGAATGATTATGTTTGTTCTTTTATAAATGCACACAAAATCTTAAGGACGCCTTGCTTTACAATAGCTGGACACTTTATTTCTTGTCATGCTATATGACTAAGATAATAAGCCCAATTTAGAGATTTTTTTCCCCCACAAGGATCAATAACACTTTTACTTAAAAAAATAAAAGAAAACAACTTTACTATGGCATCACTACTATATAAACCTGTACTTTTTGCATCAAGTTGGTTTAGTTCTTTGAAGAAAGTCTTATTAACCAAAACTTTACAGATCATACAGCAAGAAAATCAGTTCTGCAAATTCAATAATAATAAAAAAAAGCTCAATTATACTATATACTAGACAATTATACTATAGAGTTTTAAACTACACTAAAATCGTCTTAGAAAATTATTTACAATGTTATCATAGTATAAACACTCTAAATTTTAAAATAAATCTGCAGACTTTATACAAAAATATTCTCAAGTACAAATATAAGTTAAACACTGAGTAAAACATTCACCATATCCAGTGGAAGCTACTATTAATATATTCTAAATGGTAAAATTTAAAATGATAAACCACAAAACAGTGTTTCCTTAACCGTTCATAATTTTAAGTATTTTAGTAGTAATCACAGGTTTAGAGTTTCATTGTAAAATTTTCATTTTTACAGAAGTAAGATATACAGTTTCCTTCACAGACTCTTTCTCTCTTTAGCTTATGTTAAAAAGCAACAAAATAATAAAAATTTCTTAGTCAGAAGTTGCCATACCATGTAAAGTACATAAATTGTGAAATTTAAAAAAAATCAGCTGATTCCCTTTAAGAAGAAAACAGTGTATGTGGCACATAAGACAAAAACACACTGCTGCAGGGTATTTAATCGATCTAAAAATAATGTTCCCACACTTCAGAAAAATGTTAGGCACTGAATCTTCTTTAAAAGCCTTTTAAAAAATAAGTATAACAGAACAAAACATTTTCACTTAAATAATTTTGGTGTGAAGTATCTTTGGAACAGTTTAAGAAAAGCTTGCCAAGATGCATCATTTTGCTGTGTAAAAAGTAAGCATGTTTCATTGTTCAATAATTTCCCCCAAATGTTACAAATGACTATTTTAAAACAATGTTGGTGTTATTTAGTTGTTTTCACTTTGAGATACCAATTTTGCATTTGGCTTGGACGTTCTTAAAAATTAAAAGGTAGATGTGTGACCTAGTAATATGCCAATTTTGATTTCCTAAGGCATTGTTAAAATGCTATTAAAATATACATATCCTAGTTAGCAGCCACATTCTTACAGAGAAAATGCACATTAAACTTACTACCCTATGAACAATTAGGACTTTAGTTCCAGCTTTGGTTCTTTTTTATTCTATTCAGTAGAGTTATTAACATGGCATTTTGTGGGTAATTGTGATTACGGGCATAGCAATTCAACAACAACAAAAAAAAAAACAAAAAGAAAAAGTCCTTAAGACTGCTGCTTTGAAACAGAGTAAATACTGACACTGGGAAATTTTTAAATGGCTCATTTTTCTTAAACCATCAGTGCAAATTAGCAAACCTTTAGAAGAGTTTAATCATGGAGAGAAGGAAGCATAATCTCATCTTCGTTGGCTCCATGTTGATACCGAACTGAAGAGAAGCCCGCCCAGTGAAAACGGTTCCTTCGGAAGAGGAACCAAATCAGCCCGCTGATGAGAGCTAAGACACAGAGCACAGCAAGCGCGACACCCATTCCTCTGTAATCAGGGCCTGGTGTAGGGAGAGGTTTGACAGTGGCGGGGAGGGTAGAAGAGTGATCATTATTGATTTTATACATTAGGCGTGTGTCACATATGCGAACCCTGTACCAACTAGATACAGGAAGTAACTGATGTTTCATAGCATTAACACAGACTCCAAACTCACCATCAAACACTTAAGTGCCTTCTTTTCCAATTTAACTGTTTTCCTTTTCGTTCAAATCCTCTTCATTGCTATAACAATTCTCTTCCAAAGACATTAAAGCACTAGCATGATTCTCACTTTCCCTTCCCATCACCCATTTGAGACGATCACTCCCAGTGTATTACCTTAGTTTGATAACAAATTGCTTAAGGTTGCAAATGTTTGTTTGACTTACCTAGGGCCAAATAATGTATTATTCGCTTTAAAGGAATTTAAGTCTTCAGGATGATCTCATTCAGTTCCTAGCTATTCAGATTCAAATACTGTCCCAGCCCCTTCTCTACCCGCGCTGAGATGGACTTGTTTTGTCCTGTGTGGCTTTGATACCATCGTTCTGTTGGCCTCCCTTCTTTCTCATGACCGGTTGCATACTAGACATTCCATATGGTCCATATGTACAGCTCATCTCCGTATGGATGGCTCGAAATGCTAAAATAGAACTCTTGATTTATACCACCCTAACCCTGCTCCCACCCATCCCCAAAACCTGCTGGTCACTTTCCATTCTACTCAGAACAGAACCTGGATTCCAGGGCCCTAAGTGGCTGGAACCTGTCTACCTTCCAGCTCTTCCTGAGTCCACATCAAGCTTGTTCTGCCTTGGGCTCTTTGCTCCAACTGGTACCTCTGCCTGGTATGCCTCTTCCCCTGATCCCTAGGGCTTGGCTGGCCTTTCAGATTTCAGCTTCAATGTCTCCTGCACAAAGATGTCTTCCCTGATAACCTGATCTAGAGTAGTCATTCCCCTGGTCTCAATCACGTAGCGTTTATAACTATTTGATATTTTCCTCTCTTTTAAAAATGGGCCTGCTTGGTAACTCATTATCTATCTTCCTTCATTAGACTGTGAGCTCTGTGAGGAAAGGAGTCTTATCTGTCTTATTTACAGGTGCACCCCAGTACATTAGAACAGGGCAGGACACAGACACTAAAAATTTGCTAAATCGATGCGTAACTATATAGATATTGATCACCTAGGGCTGGAGTTTTATTTTAATATTTGTACACCAAAATGGACATTTTAATACTAATCTTTAAAAATGTTGATGTGAAAATTTTAGAGCTTATTACAGTAAGATTTTCATAGTTATTTTATGTATCAACTGTGATGAAACAGAAGTTCAAACTATGATTTCCTATAGATACTCAGGACATTTTAAGTAATTAAATATGGTTTTGCATTGTTGTTAAGTTAATCATGAGTTTTATAAGAATGAGGAGAAAGAAAGCAAACCGACTGCAGAATTAGACTTTTGAGCTTTTACATATTTGAATTATAGAATAAAATACATCTTAACATTTTCAAATAAATGACTTCTCCAATACTCTGGCAGCTTCTATTTTTCTTAGGAAAGAGTTACACAAATCATAGACAGTTTAGAACTTTCTTCTGGGCGTCCTAGACATCTTGTGCATTTACTCTCTCTTATAATCTGTTTTTCCAAGGGAAAAAAGACTTACTCAATATTGTTTGGATATACAGTAAGGACTAAGTACTTTAGAATGAAGTACAAAACTTTGCACATAATTGAATTGCACATTTATTTCCTGACCTGTTCTGCAAAAATGTTCCTTAAGGACAGATTACATACTTACCCAAGGGAACTTTGCAGACAACTCTTCCATAGCCACGTGAACATTCAACTTTTATCCAAGTCTCATTTGAAGCTAACAAAATGCTACATTGTCCACCACCACTCTTCATTTTATTTGCCCATTTGGCAAATGTCACTTTTGATCCATCTAACCAATTCCAAGATTGATCTAAAGAAGGAAATTAAGTACAACTATGTTTATTGCAACATAACTAAGGTAAAAAGGCATGTAACCCATATGACTTATTTATTTAGAACTGCATTATGCCACTACTTAAAATAAAATTTATTAAAAGTGAAAGAATGAAAAAATCACTTTGTCAGATGCACTTGTCACATATCAAGTGCTCAGTAGCCCTGCCTGGCTAGTGGCTACTACCTTGGACAGTGCAGTGGACCAACTGCATCTTTGTATAAAGTTCTGTTAGACAGCACTAATATAGAATATGGTGTTTTGATTAAAGGGCAAAATGCTTGCACATTTATTGTGTGATAGATAGATTTCTAAAGACCTGTATCCTTTCCCCATCCCCCCACCCCCCATCATTCACAATGTGCTGGTGGGGGAGGTAGCACCACCTTGTGGTGATAGTATAAACTCAATTTATAATTCATTTAGATGGCCAACTTTGAATTCGTTCACTTTTTGACACATACTTGATATTCTGGAATTCACATTTATTTCAGTTACTTAGAATTCAACTTTGCATAAAATGTGAAATAGACTTCCTAATCTTCTATCAAATTTCTACTCTTAATTCATTCTTTATCAATTCCAAGTGTACTTAAACCCTGTATCTAGTATTCCCTATTGAAAAATTCTTCCACAAATCTTTTTGAACCAAATATCTGCAATTTTACTAAGATAGTATAAAAAATCACTATTAAGGCTTAATTTTGCTCTATGGTAAAAAAAAAAGTTCCAACAAGAAGCGAACTGTCTGAATAACAGAGTTATAAGCTACAGAAACACTGGGTGATAGAGACTAAAACTCTAAGGGAAGTAAGTGAGATGGGTTCCTTGTGGGGACACAGGGGGCACAGATATTGCCACAGGAGAAAAAAATATCCTGTTGACCCAACTATCTTATGCCTCTAAAACACTTCTGTTGATTTTAATCTGACTTTCTATTTCATTAGTGTTTCCATCATTACTAATAGTTACTCATTTATTCATCAGGAATTTTTAAGCCTCTAAAACAGCAGACCTAGCTTATTCACCAATAAGAAGCATTTGAATTGGCCACCAGTTGACATTCTTCAGTGAGGCTGACTCGGTATTTAGGACAAGTTTGAACGCTCTTTGCACACTGCACACACAGATATGTCATTTACCAGCAGAAAGTTGAAATAATCCAAGCCAAACTCTCATGGTAATATTATTATTTTCCCTTATCAGTCTGCTCACAAATTTATTCTCATCTTCATCCTCTATGGTAACGAGAGTCGCAGAATGAGCTGTTGAAGGAAAACAAACCCCAAACCAATCAGCTTTATGAAAACTAGGGAAGTGGTTTATTTTCAACCAGGCATTTGAAAAAAACGATCATGATCAAGATCATGGAGAAATTCAAATTTGATACAGAGAATGTTCTGAAAATCTGATATTTAGGTCAGGTTTTTGAAAATATAGCATTAATAGCTTCCAAAAAAGTTGGAAATATTTCTAGATTGAAATTTTGTATATAGAAATTTTGTATTTCCTCAAAATATTTCCCTGGTAATAGTGTGGATGTTGGAACTGCCTAACCAGTGAGACCTTCATGTATGAACAGCTAGCTAGTCGGAAGAAGTGGGCTGTGTAATGGTAGAAATCTGTGTGCCCCTCTAGATTTTTAACACTCTCTCCTGTATCATAACTCTGCTTTAAATTTGCTTCTGTTAAAATGAAAATAAAAGCAAATAGGTTTGGGATACTGGAGAGTGTTAGCCTTCCTTTTAATATTATTTTATATACATAAGCATACTTGGTCATGCAATTGTAAGTTGCTAAATACAGTATAGAATTGAACGGGTGAGTATTCTTGAAGTGTGATTGGTTGCTCTAAACCCACAGAGGAAAAAAGTGTTATTATCAGCGTCAGGAAAGGGATAGAAATAAAATAATAACTAGACTTGGAAATCAATCCTAAATGGAATCAAATAGTCTTCAAGCCCAACAAGACTTGAATTAAGCATTTCTTTCGAGATGTGGGGTATTTAAAAAAGGACAAAAGAAAGCCTTTACTCCTTTACAGATCCCCACAGTGTGCAGGCACTTCACACGTTACCTTGTTTAACACTACATAATCCCGTAGAAGAAGGTACTATTACTGTTTTACAGATGATGAAATGGAGGGGCAAGGAGATTAAGTAAATTGGTCAGGTTTACACAGCTAGCCAGTTTTAGAATTACGAAGTCAATCTCAATCCTAATGATGAGAATAGTTCTGAATGCTATTTGCAGGGCACTGTGCTCATATTAACACACACTGTCTCATTTCATTCATTCCTACAACAACCCAACCTTTACCCAAACTTTGAAGTGAGTACTCTTTTCATTCTCATTGTTCAGATGAGAAAGAGAAACAATTATGTAGCTTCCACAATATCACTCAGCTAGTAAGTGTGGGAGCTGGGATTGGAACCCAGATCTGTCTGCCTCCAAAGCTTAAGTGCTTAACTCCCACACGACAAAGACAGTAAACCTTTCTCTTCTCTCTTCTAGGAGCAAGAGGCTTCATTCTTTCCGAACATATATAGAGAGAGCTCAGAGTAGTTCCCATCACGTGCATACATAAACATGTATAACACACAACCAGTCCCCACACAAAAGTTCCCACCATGTAGTGAAGCCGTCACAAGGAGATTTTTAAATCAGTAAAGTGTCTCCACCAGTAGCAAAATAAATTAGATAAATGTCATCTGCCTGGCTAAATGGCTGTCCAAGGCTGCAGGTCTTTGAAATACCCTAGATGGTCTCCCCAGAAGTCATTTCACAGTTTGACTATAGGCTAAGTTTATCATGGGAGAGAGTCAATCATTGCTGCTCTTTCTAAAATAGTTAAATCTGAAGACAAAAAGTCCCGTCCCTTACAATGTTCAGAGATGTGGGCCATTCCTTTTGCAGAATGAACAATCCATGCTTCTTGGATTTCGTTACCCTGGTCAGGCTAAGCTTACTTATTGATTACTAAGTATGAAAAAAATCTATGATTTTGTATTTATTGCTTAACAGACTGTACAAAAAAATCTATTGCTTAATACCTTCATCTAAGCATATCTAGCTATATTTAAAATGGTTCATTTGTCAGTGTTTTCACACACAGTTTACTTAGCAATTTTTTATTCTACTTCTTGCCATTTACTTTTATTTTCTATGTACTTATTCTTCCACTGATCATTTTAAATGGCTGTACCAATATTCCATTGAGCTCACGTATCATAAAATACTTAACCATTTCCCCACCACTGGGCGATTAGATTATGGTGCTATTATAGTTAGTGAGTGCTTCAGAAATATTTTTTAAAATGCGATTTTTATTTTAAAGGATTTCCTTAAGAAAAAAAATCCAATGATTAAATCAAGTCAAAGAAAATCAACATATTTTAACTCACCAAGTTCTGGACAAAACCACCTGGCTTCTAGGAAACTGTGCAATGCCTGGTCAGATGTGTAACAGTGGTCCCTGTACTGGATCCACTGTGACTCACTCCCTTTTACTGCTGGACATCTTGACGAGTATGTACGAGAGGACACCTCTTTAGCTATAAAAATGTTAGACACAACTGTAAAAATGCACAGAAAGAATGACTGACTTTTAAATCTCATTAAACATCCCTATTTGACACTGTGGGTAAGAAGCATTCATCTCAATACACAGCAGAGAAAGCTACAGTCCACTCTCTAAGAGTGTGCATTCTAGTTAGCCTTTTGGAATACCATTTATAAAACTGAGAATACAGAGGGAAGTACTTAGCCCTCTGAGATGGATTTAGACTAAAGTAGAAACAATTTTAGGAAGACAGAATAGGAAAAGAGGAAAAGACAGGTTGAGTAGGCCCATAACTACTTTGAAATAGTAATTAAAATTCTTTCTTTCTGTCTTTGCATTCCTTTTACTTTGATAAGAAAAACCTAGTTTTGCCTTGCTATAAAAAATCACACCCACAAGTGCAACATATCTGCACAGCAAAATCTTTCTCAAACAAAAAAAGTAGGTGTGGCTTCTCAGATCTTAACAATTTCCAATGGTTTCCATTTAAACTATTTAATTTTTAATTGTGCTTTATAACACAAGAAGCCTGTGTTATAAAGCCTGTGCCCCTTAACACCATTGTTAATTCTAACAGAAGAGAGTGTGAGAATTGGAAAGTAAACTGTCAACATCCTGTTGGTGGGGTGCTGATGATCTGAATCAACTTTCTGAGCTGGTATGGCCAGTAATCTCAACCCACATCATTGCTCTGTAGCATTTTGTATAATTGGAATGTCCTTCAGTCACTGAAGGCTTTTCTTGCTTTTTTCTCCTCGTTTGAAGATAAGGTGTCAGCAGGATTGGTTCTTTCTGGAGGCTCTGAGGGAGAATCGGTTTCATGCCTGTCTCCTAGCTTCTCATCGTTCTGGAAATCCTTGGCTTGTAGCTGCCTCACTGTAATCTTTGCTACTGGCATCAAATGGCCTTCTTCCTGTGTGTCTGTCTGTCCTCTTATGAGGACACCAGTCTTTGGATTTAGGGCCCATCTTCATCAAGTATGACCTCATCTGAACTAATTACATCTGCAAAGACTATTTCTAAGTAAGGTCACATTCTGAACTTTCGGGTGGACATGCATTTGAGGGGACACTATTCAACTCAGTACAGCACTGAATTTGTGTCTCAGCTGTTACCATTCTCCTTCATCCTATAAAGTCTGTTTCTCTAACACGGATGTCCTCTCCATTTCTACATGCTTTACCATATTTCTCCTGTATGTTTTCTAAGAGATTACGTTGATTTTCTGTATCAAACAACTAAGATGTCAGTTCTTGATTGTGCCTTTATTCCTCATTCTCTTTATCATTCTCCTTTTCTAATATTCGCTCATTTCTCTAGATAAGGTTTTCACATTTTCTTCTGCTTAAATCTGTTGAATGTGGATGTTAAATCTTCTCTTGAGGATTCTTCAGAGCAGAAAACATGACAGGCACTGAGAACCAGAAGCTTCAGACACCAGTACCGCCAGCATCTTGTGGCCTGCCCAACGGGCCTCTGCAGCCCCTGGGGGGTCTAGGTCCTTGCGCTTTTCCTCATAGCTCGTGCTCCACCCACCAAGGATGACCCTCAAATCCAGCCTCTGCTGGAAGGGGCTCTTCCCTCAGATTTTAAGGCTCACATAAGTTTGGAAAATGTTTAGTTACACAAAACATTTCTTTACTATAGAAACTCTTAGAGACATCCATGTGGTAAATCATCTGAGATATTTCCCAAATTTATATGCTGTGAAACTCTTTTTTAAATGGAGCATCTCAGCCTTTGAAAAACATTGCTAAGTGAAATTAAAATGAACAAATTCAAGAGTAAAACTAACCTAGGGATAGAACAATTGAACAGCTTTGGGAAGAACAATTCCCTGAATAGGTATATCATATTTGTTTCTCTTCCCAAAGTAACAAAATTATTTTGATAGGATTTGTGAATAAACCTGATTTAAAATCTATAAAACATTCCTTTGAGTATTTAATCATGTACATAAAACAAATATGTTTTAGTAAATACACAGTTATTTGAAATCAAGTCTTACATTTTGTAGGTTTATAACAAATAGCCCCATCCATAACCGAGTTGCATTTTTCATGCTTCCAAATTCCTTTTGGATCCAAGACAACACAATTTCCAGCAGATTTTTTATCTTTCCATGGGATATAGTCAAATGTACTGCCATCAGACCATTCAAAGCTTGATTCACGTCCCTGTTTTAAGAATAATAGAGATAACCTGAATTCAGGTATATGCCTTCAAAAAGAACAATAAGAAGAACGTACATACTTTAAGAAATATAGGAATAGGGTATTAATTATTTGCTTATAAGTATTACAGGTCTGGCCTTATGTGTAAAATCAGGGGTTTACTTTTGATGCACTGATTTGAGACATTTGCTCTGGCATAATTTAAACAGGACTTTAAAATGTACTATGGTAACTATCTCTAGATTTATTTTTTATTTGCTTTCTTTTTTTAAATTAAATTATTCAAAATATTTTTTTTGAAGTACAGTCAGTTTACAATGTTACATCAATTTCTGGTGTACCACATAGTACTTTGGTCATATAGGAACATACATATATTTGTGTTCATATTCTTTTAAACCATAAGTTACTACAAGATATTGAATATAGTTCCCTGTGCTATATAGTATAAACTTGCTGTTTAGATTTATTTTTTAAAGGAAGAGTTTATATACATTTGAAATTAAATGACGTGCAAATGGCTTCCATTTCACAATTACAGATTTACAATCCCAACCTTCACATTATTCTGAATAATGTTTTTTTATGTTTCACAGTTTTGTGGCTTGTGTCTTTGGCTAGATTTTTTGATATTACAGAAGCCATCAAGCAGCAGGAGGCTAGAAGAGGAAAATACTTCCTAAGAAACTCATATGGGAAGATTACTTTTGATTTTCCTTTGACTCTATAATCCTAATTTGTCATCCTTATGTTTTCCCCAGTTTGTTCTAAAGAGTATTTAAATTAAGCCTTCAATTCTAATCTCAATAGATGTCTATTTTTTGAATACTAGACATTATTATCAGTACATGAATATATTAATTAATAGGATTCACACTGTGGCACAAAAGATGTGTTTACCAGCAGATTACTCTCAAATAGTGCTCATTTCTAGAGGGAATGTGGGAAGAAACTATGCATTCATTAGTCCTAACATTAAGAATTACTTGGCACCTTATATAAATTTTTGTGTTAATCTTCACTATAATCCTAGATTAAGAAAAATATTATCACCATAACTTTATAGACGAGGTAATAAGCTTGCAAAGGTTAAATAACTTGTTCATGATCATCCAACATGCAAATGGAAGACCTGTCACTAGTACTGGAACTCAGGCTTTTCTGATCCTGTGCTATTCCCTTTCACCAGCTTTCCAACTGGTCTGCCCCAAATAGGTTAAAGAGGTGGTGTTGAGATGTGCATCTGCTCGGCCCTTGGGATGGCCTGGCAGTGTCAGGGCCAGCTGCAGTCCTGGCTGTTTGCCCTAATACCTCCGACAAATACAATTTTCTATTTGTTCTATGTTATAAAAAGATAAGAAAGCACAATGCTGTGCAAATTCAGTCACCAGACTTAAACTGATGTTATACTTCGAATTAATATTTTGTGCTTAAATTTCCAACCTTCTAACGTATTTGGAAAATTTCTGGAAAACAACACAAGACTTACATCATGACTTGAGAGTCCAACCCACAGTGGAAATCCGTCACGCTTTACGATATCTTCCAGAAAAAGCTGGCCATTTTGGTCATGAACACTTGCCAACTGACCTCCACTTTGAGAACACGTATTTAATGCTTCATACCATGTTACCTTTTTTTGAATAACATTATAAATGCCATCTTCATATGGAATAAACTGTGGCAGAGTAGTATTATATTCTTCCTTGTAGTCAACTATAATATTTAAATGAAAAGTGTTAGTAATTAAATTTAAATTATTTAAAATATATATTTTGGGTAAGGCTGGACATGCAAACATTTCAAATTTAAAATAAAACTGAATTTCTCATTAATAATGGAAGTCAAATCATACTCTGTTTTTCTTATTGCCACAGCATATGTAATAGGCTCTCACATATTACAATTGTCTGGGTGATTCAAAAAAGACATACATAGCATCTTTCATTTAAGGAGCTCAAGTATTAGTTAAGAACAGAAAACAACAACACTTGAAATGAGGGCAAAACAATTAACTACTAGAATATGTGTGACTGACTAGAGAAGGAAAGATTCATCTGAATTAAGGGGGTCAGAAAGCCTGCTTGATAAATGAGGCCTCCAGAGTCTAGGTTAGGTGAAATTAAGGCCAAAAAGAAGTAAGGTGACCAGAAAGTCAGCTGAAAACAAACAACAACAACAAAACCACAATGATGAGGGTATTTCAAAGGAATACAGGAGCCAAGTAAAAGATCTCCCAATGGCCAAATCTGGAACAATTTGAGCCAAATATTAAATAATGAAGTTTATCAGATTATAACCCAAAGTATAAAAAAACCAGGAGCCCATACAGATACAAATAAATATACATAAATGACAGATAAATAAATGACTAAATAAAGTTTTAAATGGGAGAGAATAGACAAATCTTCTGTGCAGAATTCCAAGTAATTTATATAGGCACTCCCCACCTCCAGAAGGCAGAGAATAACTCTCCATTCCATAAGAGTGGCCTGAGTATGGTGACTTCGTTGCAGAGGGTACAGGATGAGAAGGGGGAAAAAGAGTATCTGCAGTAGAGAAAACTGAGAGACATTATAAGAGCCAGGTGACCAGTGACAGGTAAGTCATGTCGACATTATATACCCTTCATAGGATGTGATGACAATGACTACCTGTGTATTTTTCCCCCAAACCCATAACCCCAGTTTAACCATGAGAATAACATCGGCCAACTCAAATCGAGGGACATTCTATAAAACACATGACAGGTGTTCCTCAAAACTGTCAAGGTCATCAAAAACAAGAAAAGTCTGAGAAATCATCATAGCCAAGAGGAAGCTAAGGAGACACGATGACTAAATGTAAAATAACATGAAGTAAAAATTAAGGACATCTGAACAATGTATGGATTTTAGGTAGTAATAATCTACCAGTATTGGTTTATCAGTTGTGACAAATGTACCATACTAACATTAGATGTCAGTGACAGGGGAAACTGTTATGTTGTGTATGCGAACTGTCTGTACTATCTTTCCAACTTTGTAAATTTAAAACTTTTCTAAAATAAAAATTTTATTTAAAAAGAAAAAAAAAAGAAAGAAGGTAGAATATTTCCTGGCAGAGTTAAAAATAAATAAGTAAAGGTGCAAATGAGAATGAGTATACACTGTACATGGGACAATTAAGAGATCAGCCTGACAGGAAAAGATCCTTACTGAACCAAAAATGGGGGAAAGAATAGACACTGAGAGAAAATGTAGAATTTTAAGAAGACACAGTGGTTTCTTAAAAAAGTCTCAAAAGCTTACATGAACTCAAAGTAATTGATAATAGGAAATCCCTGGAGATTGTTGATGAAAATGTTATGTCAGAAAGTTATTCCGCAGGACTATGAAGGGAGAAAATTGGCTTGGATGGGACTGTGATGGGCTCCATGTTAGCAGAGGATTTAAAGCAGAATGGCCGTAGTAACAGTTTTTAAGCTGTGAAAAATTTAAAACTGACATGCATTTAAAAATAGACTTATTTGAGGAATCAGGCAAGGTTGGGGGACATTCATTTTCAGCATGGAATGTCAAAACTCTACCCAAATCCAGTTTCCTATTTATAGAAATCTTATCCATCCTTCAAGACCCAAGCAAGTTTTTCCTCCTCCTCAACGTATTCTTTGTTTTCATTACCCGTGTTTTCATTGATCTCTTTGACTTCCCAACAAATGTAAGCCTGGACCAAATAATCTAAGACTAACCTTTGTAAAACAAATATAAAGAATTTAATGCTGTCTCCCCAGTTACATTTTACTCCCTGAGATCAAGACCATGACACCAGGGACTGTGTCTTTTCCTTCCTCGGTTAACGCCTGTAGCACCTCTCAAAGGACTGAATACAGAGGAGCCACTCAAAAAATACAATTGCTGGTTCCCACTAGTGGAGTGAATAATGGTTTTATATTCTCCTTCCCTGGAGTGGGAACTCTGCGTTAGCATACTTACCCATTTCAATTTTGCAAGCAAGAATGCTGTGCTGGTGAAAGTAAAGCACGTCTTCAACAACATTAAAGGTGTGAATATCCCAGAAGCCATCTGTATTCAAGCCAGCAAAAAATTTTCCATTTTTTATAGCTGGTCTTCCTGATCTCCAGTGTGTATATGACAGCATGGTCTTATCAGACCACATAAGAGAATTATCTAGAGAAGAAACATTTGTTTTCTATGCTTCGAGATTAAATCAAGACTTGAATTTTGGTTATGAGGTTAATATTTCAAACTCAACTAATTTCTTTCTTCTTTCCCTACCTTCTAAAAGGTTGTATGATTATATGTATCATTCTAAAATATTTTCTAATTATAACAGTAAATCATGCTTATTTTTAATACAGAAAGTGCAAACTATAAATATAAAAATTGAAATTTACTTGTAATTCCACCATCTTGCAACAAGTTTACATTTTGCTATTTTTTTTATTCAATATTCCTTTCTCCTACATATATGTTTAACTGCAATGGAAATGAATATAACTATTTTATTTAAGAAATTAACATATCATAATACTAGTGATAGAAATCTCTTCTCTGGACCTAAACCATGGACAATTTATGTCAATTGTTTTTTGACAAGGGTGCCAAGACAATTCAATGGGGAAAGAATAGTTCCTGGGACAATAGGATATCTACATGCAAGAAAAAAAGAAAAAAGAAGTTGGACCCTCTCCTTTCACCATACAAAAAATCCTCAAAATTGATAATAGAGCTACATATAAGGCCTAAAACTGTAAAATCTTTAGAAGAAAACACAGGAGTATGTCTTTATGACCCTAGGATAGGGCAAAGCCTTCTTAGATATGCATGTGATAAAAAAAGTAAACTTCATTAAAATTAAAAAGTTTTGTTTCACAAAGTATGCTACCAAGAAGGTGATGGGAGAAAATATTTACAAATCCTTTCTTTGACAAAGCACTTATACCCAGATCTGAAAGTGCTTTTTAGAATACAGAGTACATTTTCAGTTGTTTCTGATAATATAACTAACAAGGTACATCAGTGGGTATAACTGCAATCTCTATTTCCTGGGTCTGATCTCTGCTGCTCCATAGGGGACCATTGTTTCCCCAGTCACTTTTACATAAATCCTGAGAACCCTTTTTTCCATTCCTAAATTTAAGGATATTCAAGTGTCACTGGAGAAATGACTTCAGCACCACTGAGTCCTACCATAATGAACTCATCTTCAGCTGAGAACCCAAGTCTTACCCAGGGCTTGACAGCTTAATTTTCATTAACTCATCTGCAAGCCATAAACATTTAAGAAAAACCTGAGTAATTATAAGAAAGAGAGAGGTTAGAGAGCTAAGAGAAGGCTATTTTTAAAATGGTCAGATTTGAGTAATTTATCTTCTCTGCCTACCCTACCTTTAGCTACCACTGTCCTGTGCCCTGTATTAAGCCCCCTTTTTTGGATAAATGTATACTTTTGACATTTTATGCACATAGAGTGATTTTTTCCCTAATGCTAAAACTATGAATTTCAGGACATCTCTAATTTCTAAACAGGTCTTATTTCCCCTATTATTAGAGTCTGTTTTTAAAAATTTCATAGCAATTATATCTTGGATTTATGGTATTTACAGTTTCAAACACTTTATCCCAGTGGCAGACTATATGTCTCATTTTTCTAAGTGTACCCCGAGCCAATGGCATAAATCCAAAGATGCAACATTAATAGAAGTGTATTTCTGTTCTTACTCATCCCACATCCATAGAGATGTAAAGTAAGTACTGGAGATTTATGTGGGAGTGTGGTCATTTTTAGTTAGTTTTGAATTGCTAAAAGGGAGAGTGGAGAAAGGAAATTATTTTCCACCATTTAACCCTAAGTTTGGTGGTGAAGGCATTTTAATGGCAGAGCAGAGACACAAAAACTATCTTGATATTTATATAAGTTATGCTAATAATAATTATAATTTTATATATTGATAAACATGTACTCTGAAGAACTATTGTTTAATAGCTTGATAAACAAGTAGTTTATAATGAACTATGAACATAAATAGCGAAAATTAGCAAATTTACAACTTACTTTCATAAATTATACCCAACATGACCCAGGAAGCCATATAATTGTAGTGCAGCAGTTGCTCAAGAACAAAGTTATTCTCTTTTTCATCTCGAATACTCAGAATCCGTGATTTTGGATCTATTAAATAAAAAATAGACAGTAATTGAAATAACTACTTATTTGGAACACTTTGATATATTTAATAATTTTTATTTCCCTGTTTAATATACTCCAAAACTAAAACAATAGTAGAAAGAAAGAATGTAAATTGAAACTATCTTGTTGTACTAAAATAACTAGGTTAAGACATTTTGACGTTGAATTTGGTCTTAAAGAGCACTAGGAAACTAGTAGCAGAGTAAAGAATTTGAAACATTGATTTACTTTACTCTTCCTCACTTAAAGCTTATTTTGAGGTGGTACAAATCCAACTATATTAATGATACACTGTCAAAGACTGTAATAAATAAAACCTCTTGGATGGGCTGTAAGACAGATCTTCCTTTTCCTTAAAGTTTTCCTTAAACTGTTACATCACAGTTTAAAAAGTTTAATAAGTGGGTTCCTCAGGAAATTAACAGGGGTTCCTCAGAAAATGGCTACGTGGAAAAAAACCTTACCAACGTTGGTTAAACAAAATTAAGCTAGTCCATTCATGCCAGTATTTCTTAAAGCATATACTAATGTACATTTGATAATCTTTAACATGTGAAGTGAAGATGTGTGGTGTTTCTCAACTTTGTTATTTTACCAAGGATCTTTTTTGGGGCACAGCACATCTCTTAAAACTAGTGTTCTACAGAGCACACGTTGGGGAATGGTGGTTTGATATTTTTCATAGGAAATTCCTACAAAGTTGATAGGTCCACTGTTCAGAAATCACAAATCCTCAGTGGATCTCACAGGAAATATCTGGAGAGTCTTGAGAGCTGAAAGCATGTAACATGTATTTCTTTTGAGCACAGCTGCTTCTTTGTGGCTTACTTGGTTTCAACCACTCAAACTGACCTATTTTCACTTTGCCCGCAGCCTAACTTGGTTGAACATCCAGCTCTGAACATCCAGCTCTCTGCTCCCCAGTGTAATTTTTTTTTCCTTTTTGAAGTGGGACCCATTATGTTTATACAGTGTAAATATAGGCTAGATCTCTAAGGGATGGGCAAAAAAAAAAAAGGAGATAATTCCTATACTTTCCATTTTAACTAAACACAAATTTCAATACTTTGTCATAGATAATCTAGAAATTAGGAGGTGAACATTTTTGAGATCTAGTTACTAGTGCTAATTAGAAATATTTATAATATACTCAGGTGAGATTTGTTTTTGAATGCGCATATGCAATGCATAACAGTCATGTAACATACTTACTCAGCGCCTGACATTTAGAATGAACTTCATCTGGTGCTGTTACTATGTATCTATTCTTTGTTATCATGAAATTGTAGCAGGAGTTCTGAAATGGTATCCAGGGAGTATTAAGAACAGGAGATGGACACTGAACACTGTCAAATGGTTTGACCTCTTTTTCAGTCTCATCTAGAAGAGAATTAATGGTAAGAATTCTAATTGCAGATATAATAAATGTTAAATCCTGTTCATCACAATTAGACTTGATTTGTAGGAAATAGTCAGGAAGCCAAGAAATAATAGCCTGATGATACTTGTCCTGTTTCTGCTCAAATAAAACACCACCTCTTAACTAGCTTTCTGTAGGAAGGAAATTATTTAGTATTTTCTTTCCTTTGATGAGGAATGAGAGGAAGAATGTAAAAAATGAGGTGTTATTAGGTTAAGTGCAGTTTATCTCCCTGCATCGCCAACATTCAAATACAAGGGGCCACTTCAGAGAAACTACGCTAACATAATGACAGGCACCTAAGCACAACTTTAAGAATTCACCTTCAAGTTTCTGGTTACTGATATCTTCTCTAACTTTAAAGGAACATTTTATGAAATAATTGATGTTCTAAATAAGTTATTGCTTTAACCAAAGCAGACAGAAATAATTTAAAATCTGACATCTAGAAAATCTGAATTTGTTTTTTTTCCTATTTTATGAAAAGGCCATATATTCAAAAAAGATGCAAACAGAGCTATTCTTCACTCAAAGCCAATCAAACTGATTCCGTATGTGGTAAAGGCCTTTCAGTATTTCTCCCAGCTAACAACACCCTTTGTCTCTGAAGCAGTCTTCTTTCTAACCACAAACCTACAGATGTGAGCCCCTGGAAGTAGCTGTGAAAACACTTTCCTCTGACTAGGCTAGAGATTACATACTTGACTCAAGCTGACTCCATCAGATTCTCTCTACAAATCTGGAAAGTGTAATTCAAACATGGTCAACTCATCTCCAGATATGGCTATAATTGAAAGTCACCATGTTTTGCCTCGTGCAGAGAGAAGCAGAAAGTGCGTAAAGGGAAGAGTGCAGCTCCACAGGGAAACAGAGAGGAGAGGTAGAGGACGCTATCTCTGGCCTGATTTCCTCTCCTCAGGGGGCTCAGCTCTGTCCCCATTTTTGAGGATCTAAATTTCCCCTTTAGCTTAAGCTAGCCTGAGCTAATTACCATTACTTGCAACCATGAACCTTAACAATGACTCATAATAGAAATGTTAGTTGTTGATAATAAGAATTATAGAAGAATTCCCACAAATGTAAGTTTTCCATAAGAATATAAACACAAAATGTATGCAAAATGAGCCAAAGGTCAATTACTAACATCAGTTGACAAAAATAGATAAAATATGTTTAAATTAACAAATGAATGACAAAATATTTAATACATGATAATTCTCCTTCGATACAAATTTTTGCAACAAATTTTGTTGTAAAAAGGAAATGATTATCATTGCTTTGTAATTTTAAAACCAAACTTTACAAGACCATTCTCCCCAAATTCCACTACTCATGAGACTGATAGCAATTTAAGAATTAAAATATTTGAAATTAGCGTACTTCCTGAATAATAGCAAATAGCGCCTGGCTGATCATCATCACAATCAGATGTTTTCCAGAATCCATCAGTGTCCAATACTACACAGTCTTCAAGTTGCTCATTATTTTCAGCCCAGCGATTAAACTGAAGATGTTTCCCATCTGACCAACCAAAGTTGAGTTCATCCTGTAAGGAGCAGAAATACATTTTAAGTGGTAATACTTCATGTTATTCTTATTGTATGATTTTGACCCTAATGACTTTTAATTTTATCTTATATTTAACACACATTTACATAGCTCTTACTAGGTGTCAGGCACTGTTTTAAGTACTCTGCAAATATTAACTTACATAATCCTCATAACAACCATCCGAGATAGGTACTATTATTACATGCATTCTATCGATGAGGAAACTGAAGCCATGTAACATGCACAAAGTCATACAGCTTGTAAACCACAGTGCTGGGATTCTAATCCAGGCCCTCAGGTCCTGGAGTCCATGCCTGAACCATTATGCTTTGCTGCCTCACACGTAACTGGAACCCTTGGTGGTTGGAAATCAGCAAGCTAAAATGAAGTGAGGACCCTGTAAGCACTGACTAAGTGAGAGACAACGTGTAGTAGTGGAAAGAACATGGGCTTTGGAGCGAAGCATATCTAGTTTTGAATTCTGGCTCAGTCACTTATCAGCTTTTAATTGTGCTATTACTTCGCCAAGTTTCCACCCCCCTCATCTGTTAAATGGATGTGACACTTTACCTCACAGGGCTGGAACTCTCGGGGCAAGGTGTACACACAGAACCCAGTGGCTAGTGGCACCCAGGAAGAGCTACCTAGATGTCAGCTCCCTTCCTCTTAAACTCTCAGGCCCCATGGATCTTACACCACTCTTTTCACTCTTGTCTTTGAAGAGAAGCTTCCTCATTCACTATATTCTGTTGTGCACTAGAGGTCTATGAACAACTATCTTTACATCCTGACAAGGGCCTGACCACCCACCTGTTTAGAGAGAGGCTTTACAGAGAAGGCACAGAAGTGCAGGGAATGCACTGCAAAGTCCAGGCCTGTCTCAGTGTCCCTGTGGTGCTGCCACAGCACCAGACCTTATACACTGACCCACTGAGCTAAGCTTTCCTGAGGCCCAAGGCAATTTTACATCACTGGGTTGTGTGTGGTTTTTTGGTGTTTTTTTTTAGAATACTGGGCAAAGGCTACAGATAGTCTCTTAGTGAACCAAAAATAGCAAACGTGGCCAAACCTCAACACCACCAACTATTTACTTCTGTACTGTTCTCCACCAGAGTTCCAGTCGTAACCTTGTGGCCTCTAAGCCAAGAGGCCTCAGGCGTGGCCCTCGGGCCTGGGACATTGCATGTACGCAGTATGACCCTGGGTTCCTTCCCTTTTGCTTCTCTCCCAACTAACCCAGGGCCCTCTATTTCTTCTAGACAAGTTAGCCCACTCTCTCCATCTCTTTACTGAATACTAAATCTTTTTATTCTTTTTTTATTTTATTGAAGTACAGTCAGTTACAATGTGTCAATTTCTGGTGTACAGCACAATGTCCCAGTCATGCATATATGTACATATATTCAGTTTCATATTCTTTTTCATTACAGGTTATTACAAGATATTGAATATAGTTCCCTATGTATATCTCTTGACTGTAACTATCTCTCTACTAAATCCTAGACCTTGATTGATGTTAATTAAAATCTGTCTTTCCCAACAGAGTAAGTTCCTTTCAGCACCCACAAGGGAAAGCTATTTGTTTTTCTAGTCTCAGATACCACAGGGCCATGAAAATGAGGTAGTGGGTATTTTTATTTCCTGCAGTCATTTCCTTTCAGGTTTATGCCCTTCTTATCACCATAGACTCCTACTAGAGTCCTTGCTCCTCCTTGACATTCACTAAGGAGATGCCCCATGTCTTGCTCTGTCCTCCTGGTCTTATTAACACTGACTTTAGGGACGTCTGTGTTCACGTGGATGACTTGCCCCATTCCCAAGACTTCTTGACTTCCTCTTCTTCTACATACTTTCACTTCTGTGTACTTGAGTGACCCACCACCCCAGCCGCACTCTGAACTTTCTATAACCCAGAACTGCTGCAACACAGACACTGAACACATGCCTCAGTCCAGGCCAACGTCAGCTCCTGCGTGAATGTCTATAAGAAACTAACTGGTCGTCTATATCTAGACTGCTCACTTCCTTCCCCAACTTCTGCCCAGCACAATTTTTCTCAAGTCAAAATCTAATACTGTTACTACCATGTTTAATATCTTTCCCATTGCTTTCAATGTAAAGTTTTATTTATTTATACCCTGTCATGTGCCAAAGATTTAAGGCAGCTTATGAAGATACATAAAAAAGAGCTACACAGAATATGTTAAAGAGCAAAAGGACTAAACTGTCTTCAGCCACATTTTGTCCCTGCAGCCCTAAAACCATCTTGGTATACCAAGGGTTATCCTCAGCTCTACATAAACTTAGGTTTGCTTCAGAATGCAGTGGACTCGTCTCTCCTACTCTGGCGATTAGCTTCTCTCTGAGAATGGACTGGGAATACTGGTCTAGGTGACATTTATCTAACTAGGAATTCACCAGTCATGCACTGCACAGATGCAGGGAACAAAGTTCACATCATAAACTTTGTAAATGGCACTTCTATCAAGTGTGCAATGTATGCAGGTTTATACACCAGCCCTATATTGTACCCCTCAAAACATCTCAGGGGGCAGAGCATCAAATTATTACAGAGAAGGCTCAGAAACGAGGCAAAAAATGGCCTACAATGCTGGGAAGGATACTACAGTTTTATTTTTAATAATAATAATATTTTAATAATATTTTAATTTAAATCTTTAATAATAAAGATTCACTATTAATTATAGCCAAAAGCTTTCATAGCATAGACATTCCTGTTTGTGCTACATACATACATAATTTACAATGTTGGGAACTAATAGGAGACCAGCATTCTTTGCTGGGCTATGAGATGAATGAGAAGTACCCAAGACCTCTATCCAGGATCAGGGTTTGAGATGTGGCGAAACACTATTCTAATCCCTTTGTAGAGCAGCTTAATTTCACTCTGCTGATTCTGAAAGGGATAAAAAGCCCTTTAACAATATCCACAGGGCTTCCAGTCACACAGCCCCATCTGATTTTTTAATTCTTCCCTTCCTCTCTTCTTTTCATCAGCTGAAGAGACTCGGCAGCTCCTGATGAAAGCTCAGTCTCTGACTGGAGTAAATAAAATGAAGGGCTCAGCTATGTGTGCCCACTAGAACCTTCTCTTAATCTGAACAATAAAGCACCAGATCTTTCAACAGTAGAAAGATGGATGCCCCCCCAAAATTAAGTAACTCACGAAATTTATTCACTGGGGTAAGATTTTAGGATTTCTCGTCTAAAATTTTAGACAGATTTTAATTAACACCAATCAAGGTTTCTTTTAGTCTGACATGACGGATGCCGTGTGCAATAAAAAAAAATGTCACATTCCATCACCCAATCCTGGCAGCTGGGACTGAAAACTTACGTCATGACTGGACAGTCCAATCCATAAAGAAGAGTTCCGAAGTACCGCCTGCACGGTCAGGAACGCCTGCTGGTAAGGGTCCGTGATGCTCACCAGGTGCATGTTTTCCTTCTGACACTCCCTTAGAGCATCGGACCAAGTCAGAGTCTTCAGGATGATTTTGTACAAATTATTTTGATACTTTATAGTTTCTGAACTATTCTGCAAGGTCTGTCTGCCTTCAATTTCTGTGGATTAAAAAGAAACAAACACAAAAACCACCCACTTGGCAAGTCATGGGACATTTTTTTTGAATTTCTCCTCCCAGTAACATCCTTTAGATATTACTTATCTATTCATTTCTTTTAGCCTTTGGGTGGAAGAACTAACTGTGCTTGTCGTATACCTTGGGTAGAATGTGTAAGCCACACATTTGTTTTCTAAAATTAAAACAAAATTCTGTTTTAGTTGCACTGATTTAGGAAGACGAAGGCTATATATAAAAGTAGCTTGCAATAAGATTGCCACTTAAGATTGGTGTCAAATATCTCCTTTGTTTGAACTGCTTCAACAAGAGGTGTTAGGTGTTCCCTTACAAGTTTTTACCTGGGAGAGCTCCCATGAAAAAATGTACAAAACCACCCATAAGAGGGTATATTTGAATTACTGCTTTACAGTACTTCTCAATAAGACAGTTACTAAAAAGTATGAGACAAATGAGCAAAAATTAATTGAGCAAAAATTTCTTCAGAAGCACCTGTATCATTGAGGTTCTCTTGACATGACAAAGGTTTTTTTTTAAAAATCATTTGTTAAAAACTTACTGTGATCAATGAAAACAACTTAATACCTCTTAAAAATATCTTTTTGAAAATATAGATAATTTTTATTTTTAAGTGCACATTTTGCTTTTTCTGGGATTATAGGAAGGCATAGACAGTGACCCATTTATAAAGCTTCATATTCTTTTTTTTAGTGCTAAAATTAACCATGAATGGTTATACTGAACTCAGTCAAAAACATTGTTTTTCTCCTCCTTTCCTCATGATAGAAAGTAAAATCTGAAAAATGCCAGAAGAGAAAGGAGAACAAAATGCAACCATAACTTACTATCATTAGACAACTCCTATTAATAAATTCCATTAGATACTTAATTTTGACATTTAATTAAGTATGGCAATGATCTTGAAAAAAAATCACATTCCATTTGAGCTAATCTGACTCACTGAGCCAATGTGGATTTGCCATGCTGAAATTTTAAGGAAGCTATATGATTATAAATTAATATTAATTCATTTATAAGATTTTTTTTGTGAAAAAGTACTGTACATACCTAACAGCATAAAGTACCATAGTTATCTAAATAATAATCTATACCTGAATATTTCTGACAGAGAGACACAGTATGGTGCTCACTGCAGGAAGTAAAATTCCATGTCCCTGTAAAAGGTGACCTTTGGAGGTTGAGCATGACAGCACAGTGGTAGGATGACTCTTCATCAAAAATCTAAACAAAAAGGCAAATATGTACAAGCAATCATGAAACCAATAGTCTGAAGATCCAAGCAAGAAAACTTTATATTCCAAATTGGGGTTTTCCTCCTATAAAAAATAAATCCATTAAGGAGCTGACCATGAAATTACTAAGAAAATCCTGATAAACTTTTAAAACATGGGAAAAGGGCAATTAACCTTAGAAATTATAAAAGCAAATAGTGGCAATATTGATAAATATATCTTCAAAATAGGTAAAGAAAAACTGTTAGAAATAAGATGAAAATACAATTACAGTAAAATTTAACACTCTGCTCTCATTCTTGACATTGCAAGTAAGCAACAAAGTAATGACTATTAGTTCAACTTATTAGATGTTTATAAACTTTATGATGACAAATGATGTACCACATAATAGAGAACTTACCTTGAAGTTTTGATCCTATACTAGACACTATAAAAACACTCATAAAGAAAAGTGTCTACCTAGATTTCATTCTCTGACCACAAATCAATAATATTAGACATGAAAATTTATCCAAAGTATATTGTCCCTATAATCTTCTCTATGTTTGAACATATCACACTTAGAAAAACAAGAAAAATTAGCTTATCCCAGGAGCTATAGATTTTTAAAAAATCACACACTCACATACTATTCAATAAACATTAAACTAAAAATGAAATAATTACAGGAAGGAATAATATGAGAAATATTACAAGAGATATGAGTAAAATTTTATGTGAAGGCAAACATGTATTATTAAATGCATTCTGATTTTTAAAGGAAAGATGAACTAAGAATTCAATATGAGATTAGAAAATCAGGAAAATATAACTCCAGGAAAAACAGGATAGAAAAGCAGTAAGAGCAGAGGGTGGACAAGAGGGAGGAGAAACCCAGTAACATACATTAGTTTTTGTAAAAATCTATATAAGCAAAAAATTAAGAATAGAACTACCATATGAGCCAGCTAAATATCTAATTTTTATTGATTTCTAATTTAATTATTTTGTGGCCAAGAAAATATACTCCATAGGATTTCAAGTTTGGAAATTCACTGAGATGTTTTTATGGCTCAGTTTGTTTTACTTGGTGAGTGTACTGTACGCCTTGGAAAGAAAGCCTATTCTGCTTTTACTAGACGTGGTTTTCTATAAATGACAATTAGGTCAAAGTGGTTAATAGTTTTGTGAATACTGCATATTCCCATCTATTAAGGTCAGAAAGTACACTCTGTATGATTTCAATTTTTAAAAAATTTTGAAGTTTGTTTTTTGATTCAGTATGTGGTTTATCTTGGTGAATGTTCCATGTGCATTTGAAAAGAATGGATATTCTCCTGTTTAGTGGAGCATTCTATAAACGTCAATTAAATTCTTTTGCCTGGAAAAAAATCTACATTAGAAAAAGTAAAAACAATCAAAATAAGATACAGTGATTTTAACAGATTAATAGCATACACAATTGAAAATCTAAATAAAACAGAGAATGTTCTTGAAAAATGCAAATTAGCATAATTATTATAAGGAGAACTAAAAACACCAAAACGTACCAGTAACTTTGGAGGAAGTTGAAAATTAATAATTCTAAAACCTCATTTTAAAAAACTATGTGTCAGGGACTGTGCTAAAAGCTTTAAATGAATTATCTTATGTAACACTCACACTGCATTGTAGGAATAACAGCATCAAAACTTACAGATGAAACATCGAGGCTTCAGAAAAGTTAAGTGAACTTCCAAAGGCATACTAAATGGCTGAATGGAATTCAGACCCAGACCATCTGACTCTAGAGTTTAGGGATCTAAAGGAAGACTTGAATAAATAGATAAACAATATTCTTGAATTGCAAGATAAATAAAAAGATGTTAATTCTCCCTCAAATGTTGTCAAATTTTCACCACAAGTTTTCTATTTAATTGTTTAGGTTGGAAATTCACTAAATAATTCTAGTTTGCCTTGAAGAATGGAAAAAAGTAGCAAAAAAAAATTTGTTAAAAGGCATACAAGTAAAGGATAATTAATCCAATTTTTTTTGAAATATGACAACGTTATAGTATTTAGATCAGTGTAGTAGCTAAACAAGAGTATAACACACACACACACATTTTGTGTATGATAAAGGCGGCACTCTATATTGCTTTTAACAAATAGAAGTATATGCAATGAATGATGCTAGACAATTGGCCAGGATTAGGGAAAAGGATTAAGTATCCATTGACAACATATACCAGATACCATGGATGTATCATGTTGTCAGAAAAAAAAACCCAGGAAAGCTATAAAACAAAATGAAGGAAATAAAGGCATATATTTAAATAACACTTACGTGAGGGATTCTGTAGCCTAAAAGCAACATAGGAAAAAAAGGAAATAAACAGACTTGAACATACGCAAAAAAAAAAAAATCTCGCTTCTCTAATATTTTTGGCATTCGGATCTAAAGAAAGAAAGCCTACAGAAATATTTGCAATAAATGGAAGAAACACAAGTTCAGCACATTTAATGTTTACATAGTCATAAAATCAGGAAGAAATACATAAAGGCTTTAATGGATAAATCATTAAAGAAAAAAACACCTGATGAAATTCAAACTATTATTGAATTTATAGAAGTCTGTTTTCATTAGAAATCAGAACAATATAAATGAAAATACGAAATCATTTAAACTGCTGAATTAGTGATAATTTTTAGAAGGCAATGCACCGAGAGCACTATAGCAGAGAAGCTGAGAAGGTCTGCAGACTCTTCGACTTGGATTTAAATCTGACTCTGCACACGTAGGCTGCGTGGTCTCTGCCAAGTCACATGACTCTGTTTGTCTCCGCATTAAGACAAGAGAGGAGTCACAGACTGTCTCACATCTATTGCTCAGGTTAAATGAAATGATGCATGTGATGCATTAGCAGAGTGCCTGACACATATTAGCTGCTCAATAAATGTCAGAAATTATCAATATACTGGTATGAATAGAAGAGTAATCACAACATATTGCTGACAAAAAGATAAACTCATAAACCTTTCTGGAAAGCAATTTGGTAACTGGAGTTTAATAACTACTCCTATCTTTTGATCTGGCTATATTACTTCCTAAATCTACCTTGAGGAGGTAACCTGAAATACAAACAAAGATTGTACACAAAGATGTTAATTGCAGCACTATTTAGGTTTATGCAAAACTGGAAACAACCTCAATACCTAGCACTGTTTAGGTAAATGATGGCGCATCTACCAAGAAATGTTGTGCGACCATCAAAATGCTTAACAAGTACATCTTTTAATGACATAAGAAACTACTTATAATACAAAGTGAGAAAAGTAGACACAATAGTATACATACTATGATCTTATCTATATGAAGAAGACAATGTATAGAAAAGCCCTAAAAGAAAAATGCTGAAATACTCATTGTGGTTTCCTAGATCAGGATTCAAATATGGTTTGAGACTCATTTAGTAGGTCATGAAATCAGTTCAGTGGATCTTGACTCTTATTTGTAATAATGAAATAGAATAGGATAGAATCTGACATGGAGAATAGGTTGTCTAGAGACTAGACCCGACTAGAACAGAATAGAAAGAAATATAAGCTCTAAGGGTAAGTACTGTTTCCTGAAACTTTTGTTTCAATTCAATATTATATTTATATCTATGTGCTGAATGGTGATTTAAATGTATTTCTTATTATGGGTCATAGTTAAAAGCTGAAAACCTACTAGCCTAAGTATAAGTGGGATAAGGTTGATATTCTTAAAAATTTTATTTATTCTTCTATAATTTCTAAATTTTCTACAATAACCAAGCATTATTTTGACATTTACTTTGTTCATTATGATACACGTTTCAGATTTCCCTTTGTCACCAACGTCAACCTTGAGCAAAGTTACAATGCATCAGAAACATCAGTTGATTATTGTCTAGGATGTACTTTTGGAATTCAGCTTTAAAGTTAATTTCATAATCTTTGTCTTTTGTGCAAAACGGGGTTTGTATCCAGCAAATAGGGAAGACAGAAGCAGTGGGCAGCAATATCGAGGTATAGGATAACTATTGTTAATATAATGACTTCTTCCCTTCTATAGCTTCTTTATATCTAACTCTTAGGGAAAAGTGATCACTAATCACAAATTTTGTACTTTTTACCTCAGGAGACAGAGGCTGATACCTCCAAATTCTAAGATGATAAAGTAAAGCATTCCATATTAGCTTTTATCTGCAACTCACTACTTGATGGCTTTACATGGTTCTGAAATAAGTGCTATGGAATCTGATGCTACAATGAAACCCAGGGCATCTACATGAAGGCTGGGGAAGCTCCTGTAGTTGCTCTTCCTTTGACAGCTTTATTGATACAATTCATACATGGTATCACTTACTCATTTAAAAGATATATTCCATAGTTTTTAGTACATTCATAGAGTCGTGCAACCATCACCCCCAAACAATTTCAGAACATTTTCACCACCCCAAAAGAAACCCCACAGAAAAACTTTAGCCATCACCCCCAAGCCTTCCATCCTCCTTAGCCTCTGGCAACCACTGATCTACTTTCTATCTTTACAGATTTGCCTATTCGGATGTTTCATATAAACGGACTCATAGAATAGGCCCTTGCTCTTAATCATATAATGTGTGGAAGGCTCAGGTATTTCATAGAGCTACATAGTTTATTGATGAAAGAAAAACTTACACTTATTGGTATTCTTAGCCTTCGACCAATCAATAATGGGTGAAAGTTACTGTATGTCAGCTCTCTGTTATCCATCCATTTGTTTATCTTTTCATAGGCAGTCCAGCGCAAACCAATCCAAAAAGTGGCTTCCATATCCGGAAACAAGGATGTAATAAAATCTGTCAGAAAGAATTTTTTTTTTTAAAAAGCATTTGACTTATTCAAATGAAAGATATACTAAAAATGCTCTTTTTACATACACTCTTGCTTATCTAACTACCAAGATGGCCTTTCACCTACTCTGTAAAAAAGTAACTTAATCAGATGATTTTTATATGTTAATTCCCCACAGCCTCCCAACATGAACTTGACCACCAGATCAGAACAAAACATGTTTACAAAACAATTCTGCTACCTTGTTCTCGCTGGCTCAACACTGAAGGAAGGGTGCCACCATAGGTGTGACAAATATCACTGGCTTCAGAAAAGGTGACAGACTTGGGTTTGACCTTTAGAAAACACTGCAAACAGAGAACACGTATGAAGCATAAGATTCCAAACCCAGGAAAGCTCACAAAGGAAGTAAATGCCTCATCTTTTAAAGGGCTGTTAATTTGCTGTCTGTGAGTACAGAAACTTACAAAGTAGTACTATAAGAATGCAGATCTACACTCTTGATGTGAACAACAGCAGAATAGTCTTTAAACTATTTTTTAAAAAATCTCCTGTTTTTTGAGTGCTTTCTTGTGCTAAACACTTTGTACACTATTATCTCATTTAATTCTCGCAACAAATGGGGAAACTGAAGCAGAGGGACATTAAGTAACTTTACCCATGAGTAAAATAGCCATAGAATGGTAATGGTCAGCATTTAGACTCTGCTCCATCTGATTTGAAATATGTACTCTTCATCACTACCTCCTTATATAAAAAAACACATTTTTAAAGAAATCATCCCCTGTCTCTTGGCAGGAAATCTTTAATTCAAATGGGGTAAAGGGGGTTAAGAGATACAAACTACCACTTATAAAATAAATAAGTAACAGGGATATAATGTACAGCACAGGGAAGATAGTCAATAATTTTATAATAATTTGTATGATGTGTAATCTATAGAAATATCAGATCACTGTGTTGTAAACCTAAAACTAATACAATATTTTCAGTCAACTATACTCTAATAAAAACAAACAAAACCCCCCAAACCCCACAAATTTACATCAACTATGTAAATTAATCTAGACTTAATAACTTAGGGGGAAAAAACATTGTCTCAACTTTAAAAAGTCAAAATGTATCTCTAATGTTTTGGCTTTACTATACTTCCAGCTGTCAGACACATCTCTCTCTCTTTTCCTTCCTTCCTTCCTCTTTTCCTTCCTTCCTTCCTCCCTCCCTCTTTCCCTCCCTTTTTCTTTCTCCCTTCCTCCTTCCCTTCCTCCCTCCCTCCCTCTCTCTCTTTCTTTCTTTCTTTCTATATTATGATCATGTTAGTGTGGAATAGTATGTCCCAAATTGCATTCCTTGAAACATTGTACAAAACTTTTTTTTTTTTTTCCAAACTCCTTACAGACTGGGGTGGCCAAAGAGATACGTTACTGAGTGGCTTCTAGAAAAGACTCTAGAGAGAACACCCTGAACTTGAACTTGGACGCCCTTAGTTAAGGATGACAGAGTAGAAAGACAAAAGCAGCCTCATTTTGGAGACTTCACAGAGCTTCCATATCAACCCCAGACTGCTTATCTTCAAACTTCTTTCATATGACAGAATAAATGTTTTAGCACACTGTAGCAATCTCTTTGTTCGGTAGTCAAATGCACTTCCTAAGAGATACATATACCAATATAAATTATGCACCTCAAGGAGGCAAATATAGAATGCAGGATTTCCCAAACCTATCTAATCATAAACCCCGCTTTGGAAGCAAGGTCAATGATTAGCATTTTGTTAGCATATGTGTATAGCCCCAAAAAGTATGGGAAACACAGGTCTGATTTCATTGGTAAATGCTGCTTAGATGTTTTCCTTAAGAGAAAAAATTTATCAGCCAGAAATTAAGTCAGTCTCCTACATGCCATAGAGATAGTCCTGGCTATTCAATGTCTCACTATTCATTGAAAGATCAACTTCAGCAATTTAAGTGTTAGTAGCAACAGAATAGGAACACAATACTCTGAAAGACCTGTAGGCATGACTAACTTGAGAGTTAACCTGGTTTCTGAAAATGTCTAGAATCAGGTGGGATACTGAAATACACAGAGTCTATGGGACTGAAGTTATTTTGTGGGATACCACTCTGCCACAGCCATACAATCATCACGAAAGCAATAATCATTTGCACAATGTAGCAATTCTCTTTTTACCTTATTCTGAAAAGTAATCCAATCCCCAGAGCACTGTATTTTAGCTGCAGGATCTGGGCTATATTTCTCTAATGAAGATACATTATATTTTTCACAGATGAAGGGCAACTTGATACTACAGTCTGCTGGTTTATTTAAGTCTGAGAAACGAAAAGCAGGATTACTGTGGTGAGAATTTTCCATTCAGCACATTTGAAAAACAATCCAGTAGTAAAGAAAGTCTCTTTAAATCAATCTTACAAAATGGTAAAAATATACTCCTTTTCTTCCCCAGCCATTTTCGTCTTGGATTGTTATTCATATTAGTAGGTTGTAGCATACCAATATTACCTACAAAACCTCACATATTTGGTATAACAACCACAGTTATTACCACAGTTCCTGGATGGAGGAAACAGAGTTGAAGAAGGCTAATGGCGGGGAAAGGGATCTAAACTACACCTTAGAACTGCTGCCTGGTCATCTTTGCAAATTTGTCTTTATCCTTCCCAGTTAGGAACGTGGTAAGTTTATTTTTTAAGTAACTGCTTTAGGATAAAGGAAGTCAAAATATTCACAGTGAAAAGCATCTTTATTTGCATTTGGAATTTGAGCTACTGCCATTAGCAATAAATCAGAATAAGATGAAGCTACCAAACATATAATCAAAAGGAAAACAAGATTAAGCTAGTAACTGAACTTGAAGTTCACATATTACATAATCAACATGAAGGATTTGTAATTAACCTTACCGCTAAACCAAGACTTGGCAGACATGTACAAGCATTCCTCCCCAAGTGTTATAGGAAAATGACGCCATGGATGTCGTGAGCTGAAAGGAAATGAGAGATGTGACAGCTCATAATACAGTGACATGTTCCATTCTGGTTTTTACTGTAAGTAATTTTAATTCAAAATTTAATGTTATGCCATTATTTTACACTACTTTTTCCTTGATGCTCATATGCAAAAGGATTTGGTTTCTCTAGCTTAGGTATTTTATGAATTAATGTTCAAAATTAATTATAAATAATAATCTATTTAGTAAAAGGGGCCTTGAGACTACTTCTCTTAAATGATAATTTCACAAAGGCAGCATCAAGGATGTCACGTACTATATAAAAGGATCTATTGGCTGCTCAGCAGTTCTCATCCACCACTTCTGCTCATCACCAGATATCTGGAAAAAAAAACCAACACAAAAACAAAACAAACAAACAAACAAAAAAACCAACTAAACACCCATCCTTACATGTGCTGGGTTTTCTAGGGAAGTTTTGATTTAAATACCCTGGCCCATCATAATCACAAATCATTAACATTTCCAGATGTTCCATCACTTTGGTCTCTAAAGTATACAAACCAGATCTTTTCACCAAAAAAGTACTTTGAAAACTCTTTGTATATTCCCAGGCCCTATTGTGCACACAGAAAATATGGTCACTGTAATTACAGGCATATATTAATTGGACATATAGCATCCTACTACAACTAATTATAAATTTTAAAATACATAAATCATTTTCCTCTAAAAAACTATTTTGCAAAGTTAGCTATTATTAGAAATAGAAACTCAAGCTAACTATAAAGTTAACTCTTAGTAAAAAATGTGACAAGGAATTAGAATAATTTATATTATCTATTGATGCTTATCTTATCAATTGACATTCATTTTTGGGGGGGGCTAGGTAATTAGGATTATTTATTTTTTAATGGCTGTACTGGGGATTGACCCCAGGACCTCGTGTATGCTAGGCATGCACTCTACCACTGAGCTATAACCCCCACATCACCAACTGACATTTATAATTAATCTTGAATATTTTAAAACATTAAGCAATCCTATTTAACTTTTCTAACATGAAGTGACGAATTTAGATATTGTTAGGTACATTTTCCTTGAGAGGAACACTGAACTTTTATAGACTGTTGAAATTTTTTTTAATAGAATAAATATAAAAATAAGGAAAAATTAAATACTTTTAAATTACATTTGCTATTTTGTTTTTGATGGCTTTTAGTCCTGCAAAAGATGTTAAAGTAGCCAGAGAGCTGTGATTGCTAGCACAGTACAGGACGGCTTCTTCATAGTTTAAGTGGGGATCAGCAACAAACCAATATTCACTCCCTTCTATGACAACTGGAGGTCCATGAATTCCAGCACGCTCTGAAGAAGAAAAATAGCAGAGTTATGACTGCACAAACCAAACTGTGCCCTCTCAGCATGGACTCAAGTTCAAAACTATTCGTAAATAGCCATCCACATAGATTCCTGGCTCTCTTTGGCCAGGGCAGGGCTGGCCTAGGACAATCCAAGGATTCTTGAGCCAGTGAATGACTCCACTACCCTCATATACTCACAGAGAAGGATAAACCCAGCCTCATAGCCTCATTCCACACCAGCCAATCACCTTCCCTGCTTGGAGGTACTTCATCTCATGTGAAGACATGATGACAAGAAGCTGGGACTTAGGCCTGGGCTTAAATAATTAACTAAATACATCGTTGAAAAAGTAAAAGCGGCTTTGGATAATTTTCAGTTTTTTTAACTCACCTGGATTGTACCAGTCTGGTATTTTTGGAGTACGACCTGTGTAAGAAAGCAAGTGGCTTAAGTTTAGTATTCATTACAGATCATGGCCATAGTATAATTAAGTGCCTTCCATCTAATTCAAGAGGCCTTGCAATATTGCTGAGGCTTGTCCATTTCTGGCTGAACCATCTCCTTTCACGTTATGAATACTTCATTTTGAATTTTGTGGGGCCTATGCTAAAGCTGCTTTTGTGGCAATCAGAAAGGCAGATTTGTTACGTATTATTACTAGCAGTCTTCTACTTTATTATCATGGATGTCACAAAGGAAGACTAGATGGATAAAATGCAGCTAATAATTAGAAAGTACAAATAAGTAAATGAATGTATGGTATACATTACATAGAAGCATCAAGGACTATGCACCAAGATAGTCATCATTGTAGGATGAGGTTATTCAGGAACCATGTCTCCATCTAATGCAATTTGAATAAACCAGGTTGGTAGAGTTTACTGTCTCCCAAGATATCCTTGGGAAAAAGTGTACCATGACCCAGTACTGAAAGTTTTGAGAAGCTGAGACACAAAACTGGGAGGGAAATAATAAAATGCACCCAGGATTCCTAGATGAAACAGGAAATATGTACTGTACAAAGAATCATCGACTCTGAAGTTGGGTGAGTTAGTGTCCTGATGCCCTCAGACCCTGCTGCTGTGGTACTTTGGATCAGTTGCTTGACTCCCTGAACCTCAACTTTCTATTCTATAGAAATGAAACTCTCCTACCTAACTCGCAAAGTCAGTGCAAAGACCACTTAAGATCACCCCTATGGGAGCACCTGGCACCGTGCGCTCTCAGGATGCCAGCTGCTTTCCTCTCCCTTTCCACTCCAGTCGTAGGTCACACTGCTTTCAAGTCAAAGACACACTTTGATGAATTTTAGAAATTTCAGGGTAAAATAGCTGTTCTTAACTTAGCTGCTGTATCAGGGCCTAGTGCGTGGGAAGACCCTCCTCAGAGGACTGCCCACCTATCCAGCATCTTTGCTTTCTCTCCAAGTCAGTCCTCTGTATTAGATAATTTCCATTAACAATACTGCAAGTCAGTTAAAAAACAGACAAAGTTTCCTGTTTGTAATCTTGTCAACGACTTCTGTTCATTTGTGTATTGGGGGAAAGCTATATCTAACCTTTAAATTTCTTTAAATTAGTGAGAAAAGCAAAATGCATGTTTTTTTTACATGAAATACAAATACATATGTATGTACAAGGTTTCAGTGATCTGTTTATACTCACTTAGAAATTTATTTTGGAACTTCCTGTGCATTTACCACTTATTAATTTAACATATACGATATCTACTTTAAAAAATTCGGGATTAAAATCGTCTTAGCATTTCCCTTAATATATCCTTGACATTTTCCACTAAAAAGCTAAGGAAATTAATATCTATTTATTCTCCTTTCCTTAGGTCCTTTTTGCCATCGAAGGCTCTTCCAGCAAGCTAACTGATTTCCTGAATTTGAATGAGATAAACTATTAGCAATTTTTGAGCTCACTGAAAATTGTTTCTAAATTTTACAGGGACTTGTCAAACTTTAATTTCTTGACTTTTGCTTCATTCTTCCCAAGCTTGTCTTCATTTTGTCCTTCATTTTCCAACAAAATAAAAATTAAAATGATTCCCTCTGCTTCATCTCTCCTTTCAACTGAAATAATCTTTCATTCCAAGATCTAATCTCCCTAAATTAGCCTTAAACGTTATCTTCTGTACAAATTCTTTCATGATAAAAGAGGAAGGTAGCATTTAATTTCAATAAGCCAGCCCTCTACTAGGAGTAGGAGTCAGCCAGGATGGAGCTTAATATCTTAACCACATTGCCAAAGGCTTTTTAAAATTATAATTATAGACTAAGATGTTCTTAGAGCTACTTTTGGCTCAGGATTCACAATGTTCACATGAGAAGATCGTGAAAATGAATAACTACTACTTACCTTTTGGAATCTGGCATATCCATTCAAGTTTTGTATCACAAGCAAAAGGCCTTAAATAAATAAATTCTCTGTCATCATAGAAATACCAGCTTCTTCGCCATGCCCTATGAACCACCTAAAGGAGGAAGAGAATTGCAGAATATTTCCAAGATGATGCAGCCCTTATAAAACTCTAAACTGTAAGCCCTATCTATGGTCTTTAACTCTACATTAGCTCTGGCACCTAAGATACTTGCTTATGAATGAACATATGAATGAATGAATGAGTGAATGCAGTGTTTAAGCAGTCAGTAATAGCTATGCAATAGCCTTCAAAGGGGCAGATAAAAGAAATATATCATAGGGTCATGTTTGTGTCCAAAATGCAAATTACTGTTTTTTTTCTATTTTTGTTGATCTGAAATTGTAGAATATTGCATCTCTAAATTTTGAAAAGATCAAGCTAGAAAAGAATATTTGGTTCAGTGGTTTCCAAACACCAGGCTGTGATTACAGCAGATCTGTGGAAAAGTGACATAAAAGACTCACATCAGGGCCCCAGGCTCCTTCTGTGGTGCTGTGTTGTGTTTCTGGGACACTTCCCTCCTCCACCTGGTCCAAGATGGCTCTCTACAAATTCCAGCCAGCGAGCAGGGGAGAAAAGGAAGGGGAGAGCACGACCTGGGAGAAGTAGCCATCACTTGTCGGACTGTTTTCTATCAAGGCCAAGATTCTGGTGGGTGATGTGGCAGGGGAAGTAAGATTCGCCCTCCAGACACTGCCCTAGCTGGCCGTGCTCCTGACACAGGCTGGTCACTGCCTCTTTCATTTAGTTTTTTGGGTAAAATTTCCAATTTCTTCACACATACGGATTCAACTTACACAGAACATATGAATTGCACTATGGAATACTTCTGAAAACTTCACAAGCTTCTCTGAATTTTCACCCTTTCAGGTGTTAAACTGGGAATTCTGTAAGAATAGCATGCTACTGTAGTGTTTTACTAAAATCATTACATTGAAAATAATGTTTTCCAATGGACTTCTCAGTTCTTTGTCTCAAACTTCCTGTAACATTTCTGGTCAATCACCTTCTTGAATCTCTTTCTTGGGCTCACATTGCAAAGACACTATCTAGATGTCTCCTCCTTCTTTGTTGTCTCACATTTTATGCTGTTGGCAATTACCCCAAACCCACTTTGTGGCCCTTTGCACTTTTTTTTAATGTACATTTTCCCTTTAACTCTAGTCTCTTGATTTCAACTTTCTACAAGACATTTCTTACTGCTAGCTTGTATTCAAAATGTCTAAACTAAAATGTACTACTAGTTTCTCCATAGACAAGTACCTCTTCTGACTGTTTTCACCAATGCCATACAGCAGAGTAGACTCAGATACGGGGTTTATATTTCAGTTCTGTAACCATGTAAGCTACTCAGAACTCATGTTTCTTCCTCATGAGATGGATATAGTAACAGTACCTGCCTCACAAAGTTGCTTAAGTATTAAATGAGATATTATATGTGACAAGCCTAGTACTGTGCCTGGCTCACAGGTCAACAGCGTCCACTGCTACCATCATCACCACCATCACCATCATTATTACTCTCTCACAACACTCTTTTTCTTGCATAAAACTTACACTTTGTCTGCATAGCCCTTGTAATTACTTATTTACTTGTCTTTACCTCCTACTAGTTTGTAAGTTCTGTGAAGACAATGGCTGTTTTATACCTTGTCGCTGTTGCACTCCCCAGAATCACAGACTACTTGGACACATTACTTATGGAACAAATAAACGAAGAAAGTCTGCAAAGGAAGACGCCTAACTGGTCTTTTATGTCTTCTGGTCCTATCCGTTGCATCCTGACATCTGTTTCAAGATGAATCTTCTCATACCCTCCTTACCTCATGTCAAGAACCTTAAATAATGCACTGTTGTCTACCCAAAAATATACAAACTTCTTAACCTGGCATCATTCTAATTTTCCAACTTTCTTTTCAACCACAGCACCAGTTAAAATTTCTTCATCTGTCTTCCATTCCCCCCACTGCCTTTGCATCTCCCTTCCACTGCCACTTTCTTGTATGCCACCTCCTTATACCATTCCCCCATTAGAAAGCCTTTCCCTATCATAACTGGACGAACTATCCATCCTTAAAGGTCCAATTCAAGTCCTACCTCTTTCTGAAAACAGGCCACACGAATCATTTCCTCTTCTGAGTTTCATTAGCACTCCTCAGCCCACTCATTTGGAGCTTATTACTGCATAGTAATAAGAGCCATCTTTCTTGAATATGAATTTCATCTTCTCAAATTAAGTGTAAGTTAGGTTGCTTGAGGGCTGGCCCATGGGTGTGCTTCTAACCTCCCATCGCACCTAAAATCATGTGCCACAGGCAAAAGGCACTTGTGGATCTGTTGCCTGACTGCACACACTGCCAGATTTATTTTTTAAATATGCAGATTTTCTACCATTGTACTGACCTTGACAGCAGCACAGTCTCTGATATCATAGTCCTGCTGAAACTCATTTGCCATGATAATAGTGGACACCTTAAAAGACAAGAGAGGCTTGAGAATTTAAGACTGATGCATAAATATTTGCAATTTAGATGTAATTTAGGCAGCTTTAATAACTCAAGCTCATTCATACGCCAAGGGATGAAAACTTTTTCATTTCTTTTTTTATGTCAGGATGCTAAATCATGAGAGGACTTAGAAAATGTCATAATGTCATAAGTTTCCAAACAAAGGAAGCTACAGTTTCAGAAATGGATGTTATCATGTATTAAGTTCACAATTGGAGTTACAAAGTATCAGGAACTTGCAAAATATCTTTTTTTTTTTGCATGTGTTGACATGTGAGTTATTCAATTAACTATTCTCGGATGGATGTGCTCAAATTTGAAAATGAAGCCAAGGAATTTTACATTTAGAAAGAATATACAATGATTTGACACAATGATAATGTGGAGCAAATATTTAACATTTTGAGAATAATTTGCTCCTCTATATGTTACCTAAAACCTCTCCTTAGGATAGTGTAAACATTTGAAATAATATTTAAGGTTCCCACAAATTGTTTCCCCCAACAAAGTTATTTTCTTTTTTACAAAACTCATATTTTTAGATAATAAAAGTTTCTCATTATGAAAAAAGGAAAAATATACAAAGAAAAAGAAAAAAAATCACTTGTACTACCCCAAAATTACAACTATATTTATACATCTATATATTATGTTTTTTAGACTATATATGGAAAGGCTATACATATGGTTATTTATTTTTTGTGATAAAAATGAGATTAGTAACATGTTTCCCCCGCCACTTCATATATGTGAATCTATTTCCACTTCAATAAAGATGCATCTACATAATTTTAATGGTTGCATGGCTGTATTCATTAACAAAACACTCATTTGTTACTGAAACAAATACTCTTTCCATCATACCCCGAACAAGGAAGATTACACTTACTGGTGTATGATCACTCCATTGCCAGGATCCTTGTAGATCAGGGCTCCTTTTATTCAAACCTATCCACAGCCAACGCTGGTTACTATGTAAAAAGGAAGTGTTAAAATCTGAGCACAGCACTTGGCAAAAACACTTAGGTATTCACATGTCTAAAATGCTTAAGACATGTAAGTTTATTCAGAAGACCTTGTCACGAACTGAAAAGCAGTTTCAAGCTATATAAAAAGTCTTCTGAAATGAAACTGAATTCTAATTATGGGGAAGCTATCAAAAAAGTACCAGACATTTTTAAACTAAATTTTAAGCTACTTTCTTCACATAAAAGGCAGAAACTATTCTGCTTTGAAGAACTTAAGAGAAAGAAAAAGTGTATGATTATTTCAAAACTTTCACCACAGAGCTTCAGTTAGATAATTATTAGACAATGTTTTCAGATACCAAAACAACAAGGGCATTTCCTTAAAGCATTCATCTATAACACTATCAAACAGTTCTTCTTTAAAATGCAGAACAAACCACTTGGCTAACATTTTATTAAAAAAGATTTTAAAAATTTAATTCCCACTGCCCATTAAGTTTAAAGTAAAACAAGTATTCAAGTATTTTTAAATGCTAAACTCCTTGGATTATCCCAGAGCAATACAATCCAGCAATCACTAAGTGAATGTATTTAACACTCATAACTATTATACTTTTATGCACAAGGCACTGAGCTATGTACAATAGTGCTTCAGAGACATAGAAGACATAATATCTACCCTCAAATGACATATAAACTAGTAAGAGAGACAAGATACATATATATAAGCAAAGGAAATATAAGACCATTTTTGAAAAACATCGAATGATATAAACTTTGTATACATTGTAAGTGCAACAAAAGTTCAGAAAAAGGAGAGGTCATTGTAGTCCATAGGAAGTCAGGAAATATTTTGTAGGGTTGGTAAGACAAGAGAGAGTCTTTAGAGGATACCTGACATTTCTTTTGAGCCATAATCAGAGTGTTTACCACATGCCAGTATTCAGACTGGCTGAGAGAAGAAAGGATGGGCATTCCAAGGAAGAACATATACAACCACATATAGAGGCAGGGACACACATTGTAAGTGATCCCTTCCCCTCAATTAAATGCATGCACTAGCCAGGGAGATAATTTCAGTATAAATAGAGGTAATATAACCATAAAAAATTTCTCCACTTCTAACTTCACTTGAAGATATTCTCTGACACGTATTATACTTTTTAGGCTTTAATAAGTAGACTATTTTCCATGTAATTTTTTTTTTGCAGGGGTGATGCTAGTTACTTTCCATATATTTAACCTTCTGATTGCATATGGCATGTACCATCAGTACGTGAGTGACTACTATATATGCAAAATAGTAGCTATAGAAATGTGACATAAATATAAATAGAACACACATTAGAGAAGTGGCAGATTCCAAATCTAAAATTAATCCCTACTCTCAAGCTCAGAAGAATATATGGAATATATGCAATGTACAGTTACAGGACAATTGGGAAATACAGTAAGTCTGCATTTAAAAATATTTGCTAGTGAATCAAAGGCAGGAACAAACGTAATTTTGAATTGATTTCCTACTTTTTAATGAAGTATCTGCTTTTCTTTATCTTTTTCCTCTGTTCAACATTCCCTCATATTTTAACATCAATAAGCACTTTTTGTTTTACCTTGCTGACCTCAAGCTTTTCAACTCATTACAATGGAATATGAGACAGTCTCCTTTAAGTTTTTATTGTTATACTGTTTTCTTTCATAAAGAAAGATCACCAATTTATAGAGTTAAGATAAACCCAGTGGAGACAATTAAGTCCAGTCTGAATTTAGCAGCTAAAAAAGGACTCTGCAGTTTGTGTCTTCAACTAATCAGAGCTTTCTCACAGGCATCAAAATGTATCATAGTTTTCGACTGTTGGATTTCTAAACCACAAGGTCTGGATAGTTGCCATATATATATTATAATTGAAGTCAGATGGCTAAAATAAAGAGGAAGTCAAGTTTGCTTCCTCATACTTTATGACTTTCTAATCTTTGCAGATTATATGTTTGGGCCTGCAGAATTTGTGCAGAATTTTGTGTTTCCCTAAAGAAAGCATTAGGTATTTTATTTTCTTTACACAGTCAACAGTACAACCTGGAAAATGATCAAAGATCATTTGCCATCTGCACTGACTTTATAAGCTCCCACAGAAAGCCTCTTTAGAAGCCTGCCCCAAAATTTCCACCCAGTCCGTTCTCACCTCTGTGTCTTCCTACTTAGAAACCTCTGCTTTCAAGCCCGTTTCTGCCTCCTCTGCTGCATCTGAGAGAAGTTTCCTAGAGAGCAGTCTGCCCCATTGTCCAAAATTTCTAATCTTCACACTTTCTGAGATTGAACTTCATTTTAACCCAGACCTTTCTAGTTTTCAGCTTCCATTTCCAGAGATTTATTAGTGTGCTATAAATACAGAACAGAGTAGCTATTTGTGTGGGTTTTCTTTTCTTTTTTCTTTTTTTTTTTTTTGGTGTGTGTGGTTAAGAGGTGGAAAATATTTCCTCATTTGTAACTTATTCTTGGTTTGACCTGTATTAGTAGGCAGATAAAGAGAAGAAGAAGTTGGAAATCACATTAATCCTTACATATCTCTAATGTGGATTTTAGAAAATTTGAGGGGAAAATAGATTATAACTGAGGAATTGAATCAAACTGAAATTTTCTCTCTAAATATAGATTTCTTCTACTCCAAGCACTAAGCATATGGTTTTAAGGCTATTAGGTTAAGAAGACATTGCATGAAAGTTTAATATGTTTATTTGTGTTAATATTTCTACTCTCAATCAAATTTCCTGCTCTATCTGGTTTCTAAGAAAACAGTACCTCAGCCATAACCCCCAGTAAACACTATTTGATGAGGGCACTTAGTCTGCAAAGCCTTCGATTTATATCTTAATCTATTCATGCCACATCACTGGAGGTAGCACACACAGCAGCAAGAGCACTGCAGACAAGACTTTCTTCCCTAATCCTAAGACTATTTTTGTTCTACAGTGGCTTTCCCTAGTGGGCTGCTGTCACGAATTGCAAAGATCTTAGAGTCCTAGTGACTTAGGGTACTATGAACCCTTTTCATGGAAATACAAACAGAGATGGGGAACTTAGATGGTGAGAAGTGTAGCAGTCATCTGACTTCGCTCCTTGGCAGGGAGTACACAATTTGGGCAATGGACATCTTGCTGAGAAAGGTCAGTTCCTGCAATAAAAAGCTAAAGTGTTCAAGGAGTAAACTTTAGAATCATTTTCTGATACAAATGGATTTGCTTCCTTTCTTCCCATCAACCCAATATTGAATAGGTTTTATAATATGTTGTCTAAGTATAGTATGGGCAAATGATCTCTTTACTAATGGGGCGTGTATTAAGCAGACATTACAGTTTGCTTAACACGGCATTATATTAACTACTGGGATGAGTACAAATAAAATATGATTCCAATGAGTGAAAGGATTACGGTGATTTGTTTTTAATGTGTGATTTCCTGCTTTTCTTTGTGCTTTTCTAAATTCGATACGTGTTACTTTTGTGATCAGAACAAAATTAAACATTGTATATTCTGTGAAAAATAACCTATGTATATAGGAATGGAAAAAAATGAAAAGGATTTATACTATACTAAATGTTAACTATGTTTATAACTAGGAGCTAGGATTTGAGGTGATTTTAATTTTCTTCATTATCATTTTTTATATTTCCCAAATTTTACATAATAAACTTGTATTAATTTTTAATGGGGGGGACTCAGCAAGTGGATTAGAAATAAAGAAATCAAGAAAAATTATCTCTCAGACTTTTGTTTTCTAGCGTACTCTATTTTGTATATAGAAGCTCTTAATGATCATTTATTTCACACATGATACTCAATTTTTCATCAGTTGATTCCCACAAATACAACTGTCCCTTGGTATCCATGGAGGATTAGTTCCATGACCCCTCCACATACCAAAATCTGAGGATGCTCAAGTCCCTTATATAAAATGATGTAGTATTTGCATATAACCTATACACACCTTCCCATATACTTTAAATTATCTCTAGATTACTTATAATACCCGATATGGTGTAAATGTTCATGTAAATAGTTGCTAGCATGAGACAAATTCAAGTTTTGCTTTTTTGGAACTTTCTGGAATATTTTTCCAAATATTTTCGATTGAATCTACAGAAGTGAAACCTGAAGATATGGAGGGCTGATGGTATCTTCAGCCTTATTGCTTAGTACTTACCAATGGCTCCCTGAACCAGTTAAAGTTTTCTAGCCTCTTGCTTGGGGTTATTCAAAGTCCAGTTTGTTTATGCCAGTATTGCCAGTATTTTCCTTAAAAATACCTTGGCCTCGACAGTATGATATTTTGTGTGTCAAGCTTGAGATCCTTGAGATCTAAGGGCTAGTAAATTGCCCTGCTCAAAATTCTCTCTTCAGCGAGGATCAGCAGGGTATTAGAGAGGTTATGCTCCAGAGGTGGCCACCACAAGGCCCTCTGTGATCCAAAAGCCATACCTGAGGCTTTGGTCATTAGCAAAGTGAATTTCAGAAGTAAGTTTACATCAGCAAAATTAGATGCTTGTTTATCAGCAAGATGTTAGAAATGGGCTTTTACTGGTAAAAATTCAAGTTATTCAAGATGTGAGGAATAGCTAAAAATACTTAGTGACACTCTCACTCCTCATGAAAGAGTAGTAGAATCTCGTGAAGCTGGTAGTCTGTATCATTAGAAATGCATCTGTGGCCTGATCTCTAACTGGTCCCACGTCCAGTCTTTGGGTCAGGTGTTGGGACTGCCTTATGCCACTTATAATGGGGACAGAATGAATCCTGCCTCTGGAACATCAGCACAGTTACTTTAAATGAAACTTCCACACAAGATGGTCATTGGAACACCTAAAGGGACAGACTACTGGGATGTTGTAAGCTTACAAAACAGATTGTATGACATGTTTTGTGCCCATTTCAATGAATGTTTAATAAATGTGTATCTGGAAAGACTGGTCTGAATTTTGCACTCATTATACTCTACTCTCAAGGTTGTGGGAAGTAGCTAAGAAACAATCACCTGAAAAAGAACTTAAGAGTTTGTATATCCAAATTAGCTTAGCTGGCGTGCAATGAAGTTTTGTATATTAATTTCTAATGCTAAAAAATAAAGGCTACTATATCTGAAATTATACAATAGATGCTTAATAAATGAATATTTATGGGACACATGTATTGTATTTTACATCAGGTTCCCAGCACACTAAAATGGGACTTCACTTCCTTTAATGAGGAAAATATAATAGTGAGTATGCTAATACAAATCTGGAAAATGTAAAATGTTCAAACATTTAAAACCTCATTCAAAATCTTACCTCCAAGAGGTAACAACGATGATCTTTTCTGTCTACTTTTTGATATAAATAGTATATTTTTTACCCTTTTAAAATTTGCCTTTCTTCTCACTTAATATATTATAAACATTTGCATGTTCTTTTCATGCGTACTGTTTTTTAAATCTTAATGTTCAGGGGCTAAATTCCAAACCAAGATCAACAAAAGTGATGACACTGGGGATCTTTACCTTTTTCTGACTTTCACAGAAATGCATTTAATGTTTAACCATTGTGTGGTATGACTATTGCTTGAATTATACTTCTATTCTTAATTTAATAAAATTTATGTTAATTATATTAATTAACTATGCTAAGTATATGATATATTCATATATTAAGCCAGGTATGAACAGTGAATTTTACCAGATGCATTTTCAGCACCTATTAAGATGATCACTTATTTGACTAAATATAGAGAGTTCCTAGTAATGATCCAAACTTGTACTCGTTGAAGAAATCCTACGTTGTCAAATATGTTATTTTGAGGTAGTGTAATATAGTGGGTTAAGAAAGTGAGCTCTAATGGGTTCATATATTGGATCTTTTACTTACTTGTTATATAAATTTGGGCAAGTTATTTTACTTCTCTGTGTCTCCATCTCCCCATTTAGATAAAATGGGCATAGTAACAGTACCCACTGCATAGGCTGTTGTAAGGATTAGTTAATAGAAACCACTTAGGACATTATCTGGCACATGATAAACTCTATATTAGTGTTTGTTATTATGTCACTTGTTAGTATTAACATTTTCACATGCCTAGTCATGAAGCTGGCTGATAATTCTTTGTGCTATCTTTGACAGGCTGTGATATCAGAACTAGACTAGTTTGTGAAACTGGATGCTTGCATTAGCTCCCATGTAATGGAATGCAAGCTCTTGCCTGTACTATTGAAACACCTGGTAATGATCTCTTTTTAAAAATATAAAGTAATTCACATACAGTATCAGATACGTAGTTCCCATCTCTTCCTTGGAAGAAATTCTTTGTCAACTTTTCCATTTTTTCCCATGGCTATTGGATTACTGGATTTCTATTTATTAAATCAACTGTAAACTAATTTATATTTCTCTAAAAATTGTTCACTTTAATAATTTCATGTAGAATAGCATAGAATTATGCATAGGCTTCTTACCAATTAAAAATTTCTCCATTAAATGGGTTTTATATTTTATAATCCCTTACTCAGGTTTCATTTCAAGTATCTGTTGTCTTTTCTGTTTTCATGATTTAGTCATCAGTAGATTTTTTTTCTTATATTTTGTGGTTTTATTTCTAGAGATATACCTCTAGGATTTATCAGTTCTACTGCTTTTCTATTTTCTAGTTCATTAATTTCACTTTTATCTTTATTAGGTTCTTTTTTATGGTTTCCTTGTATCTATATTGATAAATATTTTCACTCTTAGGTGAATGCTTATTTTCATTATTTTTGTTTAATAATGAAAGCCCTTAAAGCTATTAATGTACCTCCAACTATAGCTTTGGCTATATCTCATGCATTTCAGAATGAGTGTTTTTATTATCATTCATACAGTTTCAATTTACTTGCCAAAAGACTCCTTAAAAACACTAAATTTACAAGTGGAGAGGATTTGATTTCACTGCTAATGTAACCTGTATAATTATACCACTTTGGAATTTTAGGGTTTTGGGTTTTTTTTTTTGGCTTAGTAAATCAACTATTTTAAGTGATCCAGGCAAAGAGCTTGAAGACGAAGTATATATAGACTTTTTAATCTACAAAGAAAATATTATTAAACCAACCTTAATTACACTATGTACATATTCTGTATTATTTCTATTTTGCCTGTCTCATTTGTTGATAAATGAGATGAGCATTTAAAGTCTCCTATTACCATTATTTACTGGAAATATTTACTAATTAATTTTTTGCCTTATATATTTTGAAGCTATTTATTTTAAATGCATAAATTTCTTGACTGTAATAACTTCATTGTAGATTGTACCTTTAATCAAGAATAAGTAGATCTCATTTAATGCATTTTTATTTTTACTGTATTTTATCTAATATTAATACTGTGACTCTAGCTTTTTTGTTCACATTTGCACAATATAATTTCGCCCATTCTTCTAATTTTTCCATTCTAGTTTTTGTATTACATTTGTGATTATCAACTCAATCCTATTTAGGTTAATATGGGACAAACACATAACATAAGCAAGTGAAGTGGTCAAGGAGTACTAAATTAGAGACCACAAAAAATTGGAGGGTGATGCCCTATTTTGCTGTCCACTGGCTGCTCAGCACTAACTAACTATTGCTACAATATGAAAATGTTGCCAGTTGTTTTAATTTAAAAGAAGGGTCAAAAATACAGACTTTTACCAAAATGTGTTGATTTTGAAACACTTTGTGGCTTGTTCCTTCCAGGAGAAGGTGATTTCTCTTCCATAATTTTGCCTGGTATGCAATAAATCCTTGATTTATAGAGTTTGCTCTTTGGGCTGAAGAGGTACTAATTGGCAAGATTTGCTTCTGGTCTCTTTGAACAGCATATGGTTGGATTTCACTACTGCACACATTTGCAGGCTTGGACTTGTATGTACTGATAAGGGACACGTTCGGTCTTCTGCCATCTTGCTTTACTCCTGTCTTCATGCTTTGTTATTTTATTCCTTTATAATTTGCCGTGTGGGCCTTCTTTTCACCCATTACGTGTTCAGTAGATGAACACCCTTTTTGCAGTTTTAAAAATGTACACAATTTGTGTTTCTAAATTTCTAGATTTTCAGGAATTTATTATGCTTTCATTTTTCACAACCATTTTATCTCTTTACATCCAGTTTTTAATTTATAAACAGTTAAATAGCTGGTTTTGTTAAAAATAGTCTTCCTTCTCTTTCAGAATTTAGGATAATTTCACTCTAAATTTAGGATACTTTCACAATTTCATATATTGCATTATTTAGACTGGGGCTATGTTTTTATGTTATGTATTTTTTCTTCTAATTCTTTAAAAACAAAATACCTATTCATGTGTTTCTGATTTTTATTCACCTCTCAACTGGAATATGCCTTTGAAATTTTTTTTCCAAGAAGGGAGCATAAATAGTACCAATTACTACCTTCACAAATGAAAAACCACATAACTAAAATGAATACAATGCACACATTTTCTACCTCAAAACTTTTTAGATGTCAGTTTTTAAACTGCCTTCTTATATTTAATGCCCTAGAGAAGAGGGCTAGTTGGATTTTCTTTGTGTTTTGGTAACTGTTTTATTTCTACTGTTTTTCTTTGAGGTTTTCTCGGGGGGTGGGGGTTGAGTCAAAGTGATCAGGAAAGAACTCACTAGGATATGTCCAGGTGGTCATTTCTTTTCCATAATTTTGCCTGGTATACCCTGAATCCTTGATTTACAGATTTGGGCCTTCTTTTTGGTTCAACAAATGAAGGGTAAAATTAATTGTGATGTTGAATTCCATTGTACCCATGATCGTCCCCAAAGCTTCAGAAAAAAATTTCCTCCTATGATAGCAACACCTGGCTCCTATTTCTCCGCATTATCCTTAAGGACATCAGGAAAACTGCTCAGGAGTCCTCCTACCTCAACGTCAAGATCACAGTGGCTGACTCTGAAACATCTCTGATCACTTCCTTACTGCCCCATCTTACTGCCCTTCTTCAATGTGGTTTTCCACCAGAGGGTCCGTGATAGCCTTATAACTAGTTGCCCTGCATCTACCTACCACGTCTGTCTGTCTTTCTCTTTCTCTCTCTCTCTCTCCCCCAACACACACACACAAACAGACAGACAGACACACACACACTTTGTTTTTGTTTGTTTGTTTTCTGCTTATTGATTTAAGATCAAACTCCTTCCCTGGCAAGACAAAACATTCCAATTTCATATCCAAATTCCATTTTCTAGCTAGGTTGTATGGCTCATTTTTCTCTGACCATATCTGTATATTTTGGTCTCAGTTCTTTTCCTTAGGCTCTGTTTTCCCTGGATCCTTCTCCCATCTTACCTTTCAAACGTTACCTTACTTCCAGAGAACATCCTTCTTCATAACATTTTCCCCAATTATACCTCCCCAAAACACTTTCTCCCTCCTCTGAATTTCCATGGCCTCTCTTGGCCTATGTTCTATATTTTTCACCGTATCTTTCTTCTCCTCACTGTTGGACTTCATTACACCACACAAAGGGTGGCGACTCTGTCCCCCTCATCTCTGATCTCCCTCATAGTGTCTTGCACATAAAAATTCTTGATGTTGAATGACTGTTAAAGTACTGAATGTTCCTTTTAGAGAATAAAACATGTCAATTCTCAATACCTAAAGGACATCAAATTTAGCATAGAAGATCTCATTCTGAAAGTATTACCTGAACTGGTCCATTAAAAAGTGAAGAAATTCCTTTATTTCATTCATATGACTGAAGCTAGGAAGGTGTCCTCCAAGTGCTTGACAGAATCTCTCGGCTTCTTCCCAGTTCCTCTTTCTTACAATTCTTTCTACGTGAAATAGCTTAACAAAATATAATGTTAATTTGTTTTCTGGTATAATCATAAAGTATTCATAACTTTATAGTCAATCACAGTCAAGAATGTTGGCCCCTGAAATGAATCTTTACAGGTGTCATAAAGACAGAGGTAAAGGTACACATACTGTGACACAGAAAGTGCCCACTAAAGGCCAGCACAGGTGCCAGCCCCTGCCATCAGGCGGATGGCCTTCCTCAGCCAGCCCGGGGAACCGCACCAACATGATACCATATTCTCCTGCCTCCCAAGGACCTTGAGAGATAAAATGACCAGCAGGTAAGGTTGTAAAGAGCACACATGAATGCTTTGGGAGTAGACTTCTGCAAAGAAACGTGCTAACAACATAACTTTGAACATAATACATTGAGACATGCACAAGTTCAGGATTATTTTCTGATAAGAAGACTCAAAGGGCAGACTGCACTGGTGTGCGAATGTTCACAGGAGGTAGCAAAACAAAACTTGCCACTTTGGACTGTTTCTTTGGTTTGTGATGACTGATTTTATGCCAAAGGAGCCATAGTCATTTTAAAAGAAGAAGGAGCAGATGACACAATGGTAGGTTGAGTTACTGGTCCTGATTCTTCAGTGCCTGCTATATAATTATGTGTTCTTGCCATCATGGCCTCCTGGTGGATGAAGTGTACATCCCTGTGCCTTGACTTGGGGCTCAGCCATGTGACTTGCTGTGATCGATGGGGCAGTAGTATACGTAAAGTGAGCAGAAACCTGAAATATGCTTATGGGTTAGGCTTGCTTCTCAGGTTCTAGTAACTGAGTAAGAAAAAAACAAGCCCCTGCCAGCTGTTGCCCCTTCGGCCTGAGACCCAGGTTGAAGGGCAGCAGACCCCAACTTACAGCCTGGAGCCCAGCACAGCTGAATGCAGAGCTGGCCATTCAAGCCCCAACGCGATCAGTCACACCTTATCTGACTTAGAGATCTGTGAGCATGTGACTAAATGTTGTCACAGCCACTGAACTTTGGGATGGTAAGTAACAATTTCTTTGTGGCAACAGTTGATTGATTGATACAGCCCCTAAAATAAATTCTTTGACTTGTAAAAGGTGGTAAGACAACAATAATTAGAGGGATTTGAGAATCATAAGCAAAGTATCAGCATGGCATGCAGCTCACCCAACTCCCCAGAACCAAAGAACTCTAGGAAAGAGCCAGTTCTCACTGTGGTCCTGCTCTTTGGGGTAGCACATAAGTTTACATGGGAATGAGTTATCCAACACCAGAGGTTCGACAATGT